GTATATTTCATCAGCATATTAATTCGTTTTATTGTTTAAATGTTTGCCCATCATAAAAACTAATTAATAAACTCGATTAGAAAGAATTTTTTAAGAATTTTTCTTCTTGTGTGCCTTTTTGAGATTTGATTGGCTTTGTTTTCAAATTTTTATTACTGCTAAGATATCAGAGTTAAGTTTTAAACACAAAGCATGCAACACTTACCCTCCTAGGTCCTCACTCTTTATTTAATTTCAAGCTAATCATGTGTCAGATCTTAAAAATTACATTTTCATACGATTTCTCTACTAGATCACTTCAAAAACCTCCAAAACAACTGGTGGAATCTGCCAAAATCATAAATCAATAAAAGATTTTTTTACTATTAAAGACATTTTGAGTGATTTAAATAACTTATCTCCCAAACCGCTACAAAGGATTATTCTCATAAGCAAAACAAGATCTCAAATGGGACAATATAGCAGCAGCATAGGTAGCACACGTAACAATATAGAAAAAAATTATTATAATTTATTAAGATGATATTAAAGATGTTTTATATGATCGTATTAAGCTTTAAAGCATAAAATTAAAGTCACGAGAAGAGACTCATAAGCCGTTTTTGCACCTATAAACATAGGTGTGTGTTTTTCTTCTTGTAGGAGTTCTCGCGATCTAGTTGCTTCAAAAAATTTGAGTTTCAAATTATTTTGACTTTTATTTCCAGAAATTATTCAACTTTCATCATTTGACTTCAAGATGATTTTTAAAGCAAAATCCATCGTGATGATTCTATAGGAAAGGACGTTTTGAACAGCTTGTTTTGGTTACTTATTAATGCATGAGTAGAGTGCATGAGGTAGCAAACTGATGGTTAATTTTTTCTACAGTCTACCTAAGAATGGAATTAATTATGTTCTTCACACGCTTCTGGGCACCAATTAGAATGCTCATAACAATTTTAAAGATCATTCCACAAAATAACTAGGAAGTGATTCGAAAACTGTCTCATTTGACATCTCAATTCTTTAACTCAAGCATATAAAAGCTGACCATAAGGCTAAAACTTTAAGGCACCAATTCCATTGATAGAATCAACCATCCAGAGATTTACTGAATATTAAATCCAAAACAGAGCAAAAGTCCCAAACAAAAGGCGGATGAAAAATCTTTAACAAGAGTTAAATAGAGTGGACAGGTGATTTATAAAAAAATTATAAGTCGATGGTGGTCGCGTGAGATGTATCTTATTTTTTTGGTGAAAAAAGATTTTTAATTAAAATCTTTTTTTTCTAGAATTAATTAACACCAGCTCATATATTTATCTCATTTAATTTTCATTTTGTGTATGGAAGTTTCATTAAGGCAACTGTCACATTTATGGCTGTCACAACACATAAAATATATGACAACAATTTTTTTGTGCTGTTATCAACCTGAAAATCTTCTCCAACATATGAATCAAAATCTGATTTTATTTTATAAAAATACCAAAATTGGTGTTGAGAAAATTAAGAATTGTCTTCATTAAGAAAATATATGATGGCAATATCCTCATAAACTGCATAAATTTGCGAACAAAGTTTTGGTTATTTCAGTAAATAAGCTAGTAATTAGAATGAATTATATCCAGGCGGAATTCATTGATTTGTACAGCAAATAAAAATTAACCTTAAATAGAGAAATGCAAATATTGCCAAACTGGTATCAAAGTCATTGTTGACACTATAACAGGATGTCTAGAACGCGCTTCTGAATCGTATGTAATAAATCAAATGATTCTCGGATCTGAAAGAGACTTTAGATGTTTATTGATGTCAGAAATGTCGTGAGAATTTTGAAAAACCTTGTCATTGATATCACAACTTATTGTCTCTAATTATCAATCTTTACAGCAAAGCTTATTAAATTATATTCCAACATTTTATGACATTATCATTATTGGCAGTGTAGAGAGAGTAGCGAAGCTTTGAAAGTAAAGCGGAGCTTTAGGGGAGTCTGAGATCAAGTCAATAAACACACAAGACAAACATTTTGAATAAATTAAATATATTAATAAGTTTTCGATAGTATTAAGAATTAAATTGTGTTTAATTATATTGTTTAAGTGTCCACAAGTTAAACTATATATAGTTAAACACAATTTAATTCTGAATACTATCTAAAACTTATTAATTTATTTAATTTATTCAAAAAGTTTGTCTTGTGTGTTTATTGACTTGATCTCAGACTTCCCTAAAGCTCCGCTTCACTTTCAAAGCTTCGCTACTCTCTCTACACAGTTTATTCAACTTTTTTCTTGTTCTATGATGATTTTTCTGATGGGAACATTCAATTCATTCATTTATCTGATTATGTTGTCATATTTTGCATGACAAAAGAACCAAAATGAGAACTACGTGAAAATTTAAGACAGTCTAACTCTGAAAAATCCAACACGATCAGTATCTAATAAATATCAGCTAAATGTTCTGATTTTTTTTCATATAAATGTGTTCCAATAGATTAAAAAGAGAAGCGGTTTGACATTAAAAATGTAGATTTTTTTTCGTCTGTTCTTCTTTCTTCGTTTCCCGAACTGATCAAATAATTTTTGACATAAATGATCTTTAGAATTAAACTAATAAATTCTCTCCACTTCTTCATTTAATTAATGAAGACAGAACAAAGTCGGAAAAGAAGACAGTTGAGATGAATAAATAAGGATATTAGTTCTTGATCTTTTTATCTGCAGCTTCTTTCTGTCAGTTCCATTCATAATGATCTCCATGCGAAAAAAAAATATCGAAACGTGATACATATTTTCCGGGCTGGGAAAGAGGTGTGTTTGACAATAGTTGTAAATTTTTCACATCTTTAACTTCTTGATATGAAAATTCATTAAATCATGTTCGGTAGATCTGATATGTCAATCTTGTCGAAAATATTTTAAATCATCAAAATTGAAGATGTTTCATGACCAACCCTCTGCAATCAAGAAATTTTATATCCACACAAAAAAAACTATCACGAAACCCTCTTAGTGACTAAGCATCTCAATTTGTAGACATGTACAAATCACGCCATATTGACATAAAAACTCGAATAATAAATGATGATTTTAATGTGAGCACAATAACTTGTAAGCTGATGTCTGGAAGCACTAATATTATATCTTTAACATGTCGTATTTTATAGTCAAAAAGGTTCTAGACAATTCGAAAATTCTTAAATTCAAAGGAAGCAAATGTATGGATGACATGGCATCACAAGCTATTTTTTGCATTCAAATGATCTTGATTCAAGTTTTATGGTCTCGTGAGGAAAATAAAGCATTTCCTTGATGATTTTCGGATGAAAGATACAGCTTTTTTATTGGAAGCATTTACTTGATCACAATGCTCCTCATAACTTTTTGTTTCTTTCCTTAATGTCTACATCCTCCGAGAGATTCTTTTTAGAGCCACAAATGATCATTTGTCTAAATAGTTCCGATGATTATTAAGTATTTCTTGTGGATTGTAAATGAAAAATTTACTCAATCTTACGTAATGTTCTGATGTTTTATCCATGTCAATATTGTCAAACTTAATTTCATCAAGCTTTTATTTGAAAATTTAAATAAACGATGTGGCGCCATATCGGAGATCTCATTACTCATTTTTTTAGATCCAATCATTGCTCAATCTTTGTCTTTGAATATATGAATACGAAGAGCACTAAATTACCTGCCAAGTCATAAAATATTAGAATCACAAGCCATTTAATTACACCCGATCCAAGAATTAATTGAGAAATACATAAATCATAAAGAATGAGCATCACAATGTGTCCATATATCATTAAATTTCACCTGCAAATTTATCATAATTTAATAAATTAATCCGAACTAAATAAATGGCGTTTCGAGACAAAAGAATCTGATTAGTAAAATAAATGTCTTAAGTTTCCCCTACAATCATTTATAATGTTGGGATTTTGTTATGATTTGCTTATAGCTTCGTTAAGTCTAGGCACATATCGAATTACAACTTGTTTAAATTTAAAAGTTTCTCATCCTCAAAAGAACCGTAAATTATTTGTGAAATATCATCATACTACTCGTAGGCGACGGCTTGTCAACTGTAATAACAATGTGTGACTACTTAAATTTGGACTCCTTAAATTAAGACCTTTTCCATTCAGTCATTGTAAAGAAGAGCGGAAAGATATTGAGACTTTTGTGGTAATAACATTTCAGATGTGAATAGACATAAAAATGGAATTATAATTCAGATGAAAAGATGTAGAATAATGATAGGTGCTTATTCGCTACTTTGTGTTTATCATATCGAAGATTTACAAGGCTATCATTAATATATTTTGGACATTTAATGAATTATAGTCAAGATGATAAATATCAAGTCAGAATATGAAAGAGAAACCAGTTAGAATATAGTGTAATGAAATAGTTTTGTGCATTGACAACAGCGCATTATTTTAAAGAATTAACGGTTTTAGAGTATTCAAATTTTTAAACACAAAAAAAATTCTTCACCTCAAAAAAGTTTTTGCTTATTTTTCTTTTAATACAAGTAGTTTTTCAGTTCTAAATAGTTTATTAGTGTTAAAAGTATAGCAAAAGATCATCGACAGTTGTTTTACACTCTGAAAACTATCTTACCCTCAACATTCTTAAATATTACATCTCAAATTTTCAGTTGACCCAAATATATTAAGACAAATTGATCCTTATTTGTGACAATTATCTGAGCAGCATTAGAATAGAACAGAATAGAACGAATAAAGTCATTAAGAAATAGAAAATAAAGGTGCGAAGATGTGTGGGAATGCGACAAAGAGTTCTTGTCAATAAACGCAAATTTATAGTTTGCTTTTGTCAATTTTATATAGTTTTTATTTTTATTGGCTTAAAGATTTTTCTTTTATTCCATAATCATTTGTTTTATTTATCTTAGAATTATTTTTTCTTTTGATGGGAGTATCGAGACTATAAAAAATAGTAAGAACATAATAAAAAAAGACAAAATATTTTATTAATCTCTGCTCTGATTTAAAAAGCTTCACTTTTAATGACAAGTTTTTGAGTAACATGATGGGAATTTTGTTGGATACAATAACAGATTCTAAAGAATCAATCAAACCTTAATAATAGCTTTTCCTGTATTGGCGCCACTAAACAAATCAATAAAAGCTTTTGGCATGTTTTCAAATCCTTCTGTCAAAGTTTCATGATATTTCATTTTTCCTTCTTGAAGCCATTTAAGATTCCCTTCAATTCCTTCCATCCATCTGTTGGACCAGCGAACATGCACATTAAATCCTTCCATTTTTAAATTTCGACGGTGAAATGTTTTAAATGCTGGAATCATGACTTCTTCATCATTATATGTTGAAATAGCTCCACAAATTGAGATTCTTCCAAATAATCTCATTTGCTCATTGATCATGTGGCCTAAAGTGCCACCAACATTATCAAAGAAGCAGTCAATTCCTTCGGGAGCAGCTTGCCTTAAAAGTTCTTCAGCATTTTCAGCTTTATAATTAATGGCTTTATCAAATCCGAGATAATCTTCTAGCCATTTGCACTTCTCATCCGATCCAGCGAATCCAATTACTTTACATCCTTTAATTTTAGCAATTTGGCCGACAATTGATCCAACAGCACCACCTGCTCCAGTAACGACAACAATTTCTCCTTCTTTTGGATCACATATTTCTAAAAATCCAAATCTTGCTGTGTTTCCAGGCATTCCTAAGACACTTAGTCCAAAAGAATACGGTATGGTACCAAAATTTGGTAGAACATAAAGTTGATGATCAGGATATTGACTTGGATCAACTATTTTGTGAGTTCTCCATCCACATTGAGCAAAAATCCTGTCACCAATTGAGAATTTTGGATGTTTACTTTCGATGATACTAGGACAAGATTTTAAATGTAGACATTAAGTTATAGGAAGATTAAATTCAACATACTTTGCAATTTGACCACCAATCATCAATGCTGGAGGCTTCAGATTTAGCATATACGCTCTCATATAAGGATCTACTGATAAAAACTCAGCTCTTGCTAAGAATTCACCTTCCTTCAAGTCAGGCAAAGTTTCTTCCACTAGTTCAAAGTTAGCGGCAGTTGGCAAACCTTTAAATTCCTTAATGTACATAAATTTTCTAGCTTTGATCGCGTTTCGAAGCATTTTTCTGGTATTCTACTGTGAGCGTTCTAGAAAATAGTTTGTCTATGAAACAAATAAACAGACACTGACAATTTTAAGTGACATGGAATAAAAATCGAGAATAGAAAAGATTTTTGCTTTTCTATTTAATTCATTATCTGATTTAAGGAAAGTTCATTTCGATAACAACGCTTTAATTATCAAAAGAAATCGATACTCACATCAATAAAATCGGAATTGCTATATCCAAAAGTAATATTTGTGAACAATGTATGATGTAAACCGACTAGAAAATACACTGATAAAAATATGAAAATATTCTCAGAGTTCCTAAAATTCGTTAAGAGATAGTGGCAAGAGTATTGTGGCTTTTGAGTGGATTGAAATGTCTGCGGTAATGTTTTCGGAAGCAAAAGAACAACGCATTTTCGAGAAAGTGAAGTTCATTAAACTAAAGTATTACTACTTATTTTATTCTGCAATGACTATAATCCAGAAGATCTAAAATTCACTTTGATAAAATTCTCAAAAAATATTTATTTTGTTAATAAGTTATTTTTAAGAGTAAATTTGACAATTTCATACATTTTTGTGACTAATCAAGTCTAAAAATAAGGAAAATATTCATAACTCCAATACCCGTTGATTTGATCATGATTTATATATAAATTTTAGGTAGACCTAGTAAAAAAATTACTTTATCAAAATTTGCTCGGCAAAATGGAATATTAAATGATGTTTCTTTATAAATTGGTCGTTAGCTGTTCCTCAAAAATAATTTCACTGCAAAAGTATCATTCTTGAATTTTAACATGTATGCCATCCAATAATCATCATTTATTCTTATGTCCCAAAGTCCTCTGATGGCGTATAAGGTTACCTTTTAGTACAAATGCTCTCGTGCAAACTTTACAAACGTAAGTGCCAGTCTTTGGTGGTTCTATATTTGCAAGCTTTCGATTTGAATGGGTTTTACAGTACGATTGGTGCCATGCTAAACGACTAGGATATATGAATCTTTTCTTACATGCACAGATGTAGCTTTTCTTCTTTTCGACTTTCTTTTCGATAATCTTTTGTTCTAGTCCGTGAGTATCTTGCTTATGCTTTTTAAGTTCGGTTAAAAGTTCAAAAATTTCACTGCAGTCTGAGCACGAATAAGGCTATGGACGATAAATTTGATTTAATTAAAGAATGAAGAACTTCTCAAGTTACTTTCAGTTTATAGGAACAGACAAGAGTATCGTAAGATTCCTTGCAAAGGATACATGGAGAATCAACCCAACGGGCAGGTTTTCATCCCAATCCGATAACCCAATCCCAAAAAAAACCTCACCTTATAAATTGTTTTATGTCTACTTTTAACATGATCCTTCAAATGAGCAACCTGCTTAAACGTTTGGCTACAGAAATTACAGATAAATCTAAAAGAATTAATTATCTAATAATTTATGATCATCAATTGTCTAAAGTATCAGCGTAATTACCCTCTAATGTCATTATGAACTGTCTGAATGTGCATCCTCAAAGTATTATTTGACACAAATAGTTTAAAGCAATCTGTGCATTCGACTTTACCATCTGTATTATTGTGCTTCTGTTGATAATGAGTGACTAAGTCTCCTTTATCTGAGGCTATATAAGAACATTTTTGGCATGTCAAGTCCTCAACTTGTGAATCATTTTCCTTTACTTCTGTGTACCAAACATTTGTTTTTGATGCACTGACCATTTTGAGGCACTCGCCTTCGTTGCTAGGATGAAGATCTCGGATATGCCTGATCCATTCACCGACTGTTTCAAATGTCGTACCGCATCCATAATTGCACTTTTTTAATGATCCATGCTTGCGATTTCTGTGTGAATGTAGTGATTTTTTATGCTCAAAAGTAGCTCCACAGAAGCATCGGAATTTTACTGGACCTGTACTTTTTGGTGGTTTTAGAGTTTTGGCTTTTGGAGGTTTTTCTTTTATCTCATTTTCTGGTTCCTTTTGAGTCTCTTTTTCATTTTTAAGTGTTACTGCCATTTCTTCATCATCCTCTTCTGGCTGTTTTTTAATTGGAGTTGACATCTTGATTTCTGGCTTTTTGACTGGAACAGATTCAGATGACGTGGTGACTTTTCTTGCTCGTTTTTTTTTTTTCGTGGAAGCAGTTGAATTTGTATTATCAATAACTTTTCCTTGTCCAACATAGTTATTCTTAGAGACATTGTGATCATCATGGAACTGCTTCTTATGAGTAATCAATCGGTGCCTTGAAGTTGTTGAAAAGCTACACAGATCACACTGCCAATCTCCTTTCTTGTTTTCTGCATGTGATTGAACATGCTTGATAAGTCCTTGTTTCTTAGCGAATGTTGAATGGCAGTAGTCACAAATGAGTAATTTTGGTTCTTCAATAGGAATTGAGACAAAATGCTGCGGGAATTTTAAACCTCTGACTTTAAAGTCATTGTCAGATGAGTGATCGGAATCAACGTCATCTTCTTCTGAATCTTCTGATTCTGTAAAATTTTCACTAACACTTCCCAATTGATCAATTTCGTACTCAGTTTCATCAAGATTGTTATTATCCTCGTCGCTTCCAATTATCTCAAAATCTTCATCAGTCTCATTAAGACTTTGATTGTGCTGCTTTAATAGACTATTTAATTTCAATTGTTTTTCAATCAGGTCCTTTTTAAAGACTGAAAATCTCAACAATTCTGAGTGACAAAACTCGCAGACATGATTTGACAAAAGGTCATCGGATTGAAGCTGAAATGATAAACGTGTGAAAAAGTATTATGACTCTATTTGTATAATGCATTGTGAGTTTAAAGGTTCGTTCATTTATGACCTCCGAGATTTAGGGGGGGAGGGGGTCAGGATATTTGTGACATCCAATTTTGCAATAAGGAAATCAATTATTTTCAAATCACGAAAACTTTGATTGGACGTCAAAAGAGGGGGGGGTCGGAGGGGGGGGGGGGTTGGAGGGGGGGGTCGGAGGGGGGGGGGGGTGTCTAAAAAAATAGTTTTTATTTATGGACATCATAAGTGAATGAATCCTAAGGAGAAAAATTTCACCAGATGTGTATTACGAGTACAATTGACGCCTCTACAGCAAACCCGTTAAAATTTCAAATTTTAAAAACCGTTAAAAATTAAACTTTCAAAACGTTTGAAAATCCATTTTAATGCAAATGCGTTCATCTCCTTTCCTTTCATGAAGACCATTTTTATTCACATTTACGTTATCGAGCAGAAAACAATTTTCACTTAAACCAGAAATTTATCTTGCCACACTGATAACAATTCAATGCAACACTATTCACTTTTACTATTTTGGTTAAATTCGTTTGCACAATCCACACCCCACCCACACAATTGTCTAGTCATTTTCGAATTAATGTAAATAAATTAGATCTTTACTTACTTCTAGCCGCGTAAATGCATGAAATTGACTTGTAAAAAATTGCGTAATTGGACTAATGCTCTCCTATGAGGAATTTTCAATTATTGAAATTTATTGCACCATAAAAAATTAATTAAAGTAAATTACGTCTTCCATAAATGATTCTAAACAGCATCGACACCTATTAAGAAATGTCTTTAGCGATATGTCTTTCATTTTGGCACCAAAAATAATAAAATCTAGCACTAAGTATTATTAAATGAATCATGAAAGACTATTTTCTTATCATATGAACTTAAAGTTATATTGGCTGGGCTCACAGCTTTTGTCAATAACTTGTTGATAGTCCGTCTGTTCCTTTGTATTTCAGAAATACGTTAGAGTATTTTAAGCCTTGATTATTATCATAATTGTGTAAGTTGTCAGTAAACAAATCACTTTCATTTTGAGCTGGCTGACTATTAAGATTTTTGTGGGAATGGAAACCTTATAAATGTTGTAAATTGATCATTTGTATGGTTTTGGAATAAAAAATCATCAATTGAAAGGTTTTAAGACATTCAAAAACATTTGTATGGTTTTCATTGCAAAGAAAAATTTTGTATCGGTTTAAAATATTTTTATTGTTCAAAACCATACAAATTCATAAGGTTTTAGATTTAAATGTTTTTATTCCGTTATTTTTGCATCCTGTTTCAACTGCAACTTAGTTCATTTGCAGGCACTTTTTGATATTAAACCGTATTATATCGTTCAAATTATCTAATCTTCAAGAAACAGTAAGCCACAAAATTTCAATCCCAGTTGAGTACATGACAATCAGCACAGGCAAATAAATCTTAAGTAGACCAAAATAACATATTTTTTCTTTTATTTCTAATATTTTTATTTGAAACTTTTCTGAGAAAAAGGTTACATGCTTGTTTTCATTATTATTAATATTATTTTTTTTTTCATTTTTTAGTGAGTTTGACATAAAATGTTTTTGTATCATATCTGCTTTATTTTATTCCTCATCATGATTTCTGTTACTAGATGAAAATTTCTTTTTATTGATGCTTTAAAGTGCATTTATTTTAAAAAAATGAGAAGGAAAATAATAAAAGTTTGCGGTAAAAATGTCAAAGAAAAACATCCTGGAACAAGCGAGTTCCTCAATCATTAGAAAAGAAATAAATTTTGTATTGTTATAAAAAAAATTTCAAAGACTTTTTGACAACTCATTGCCTATATATAAATATATAAACTTCTTAATCTTGTTGTTGTGTTATTATCTAAATAAGATAAGGAAAAAAGTTAATTCTTAAGTTCTTGAAAAGATTCTTTCAACGTTAAGAGTCAATTTTAAAAAGAACGTAAAATAACTTTTTTGCTTGTTTTTCGAAAAATATAAAAGAAAAATTTCTACATCGCGATTTAAGCAGAATAGAAAAATTATACGGGAGGTGTCTATTTAATTATAATCAATCGCCATTCAGTTAAATTTTCCTTTCTTCTTGTTTTTGCTGCTGCTGCTTTTGTTGTTGTTTAAAAATTAAATTCAAGATTTTGACTTGGATTAAATTGAAAGTTTCCGTTGTCGACTTGTGGCTGAATTCCGCCGTCGTCATCAGCAACATCATCACTAAAGTACTGTTCAATAATATCATATGCGAGTTTATAGATCTCAACGTTTTCATGATTTTGTAAATCTTCGATCTTTGTTAAGCCATCGCATTCCTCTATTAATGTGGCTATTTGCTCTGCATGTGGACCTGCCATTTTCAGCATGTTATTGATTCCATCCAAAACGACCTGAATAAAAGAAAATATAACGTTATTATCAATTCTTTCAATTGAATAAACAAATTTGTAAAGACGTCGTCGCTCGTGATCGGCAGATGTGCATTTATCACGTCACAAAAAATATCAGATTTGCACTTCATATTAACAGTTAAAAAGTATTTAAATATTAACGGGCAAAAAATATTTGAAATTCTCTTTTGTCGTACGTAATTTTACGTAAGTTAAGTCTCTACTCACATTAATAACTTGAGTATCGTGACATCTTAATAGTTCACAGAATGGTGGAATCGCGCCTGCCTTTATCAATTCAGCAACTTGCTCTTTATTCCCACTAATTGTCAAATTACTAATGGCCCAAGCAGCCTCTTTTTGTGTCTGGAATTCTCCTTTTGACAAATTTTCAATAATCTTAGGCAGTAAGCCAGCATCGATGACAGCTTGAACTTGCGATTGGACGCCTGCAGTAATATTTGATAAGAACCATACAGCTTCTTTACGAATCTTTTCCTTTTGATGACTTAATAGAGCTGGGAAATGTGAAAGTGCATTATAATTAAGCACTACTTGTGTTTGCTCATCTGATCCAGTGACAATATTTCCTACAGCACGTAATGCAGCTGTTTGTACCTTTACTTCAACGTGCGACAATAGAGGAATCAAATGTGGAACGACACCACTATCAATAACCAATTGAATTTGTTCATTGCCTCCGTCTGTTAAATAACTTAATGCCCAAACGGTATCAACGAGAATATTTGTGTCATTATTGTGAATGAGGTGACAAAGTGCTGGAAGAATCTGATTTATCGTTTGGATAGGTGGTGGTGGATCTTTGTTTCTACACAAATTTACGATAACCCATGTGACGTTACGAAGAAAAGAGATTGGAATATCAGGCTTCACAAAAGAGAGTAATGGCTGAACAACTCCCAATTTAATGACATAATCACGAAGTTGAGGACCATCACCAATGATATTTCCAAGAGCCCATACTGCCTGTTCACAAACATTAGCTGCTGGTGACATCAATAATTTTATAAATAACGGAACGGCTCCAGCGTTGACAACCTTAAATGACATACATAATAGAAATAAATTATCGGAATAAACATGAAGTAGTGTCTTGACTTACTAGATTAGTTTGCTGTGACGTTCCAGATGCAATATTCGTGAGCGCCCAAGCAGCTTCAAATTGAAGCATTTGATTTTCGTCGCGTTTTAAGCAGTGCACAAGAATTGGCAAGATTCCACTTTTTATTAATTCGTCAATAGGTGGATTGCGGTCGGATGAGAGAAGTCGACGAGCTGTTTGAACTGCTTGTAATTGATCTTCTGGATCTCCGTCATTGCCTGCAGACATTACCTGATGATGAGCAAATAAGACGAATATAAAAATGGGGAATAATAAGAAGTCCATCACATATAGATGTATGTGGCTGACTCATTTCATAAATGTGTGAGAAATTTTTTCAATTCTCCCATTTATTGACATTATAGTTCATCTTCTTCTCAAAAAAAAACTTACCAATTTCTTTAAATTTGGAACTGATAATAAGTCATCGTCGGATGTCTCTGATTGATATATATTTCTACGCTTTTGAAGTGTGTCCTCTCTTTTGTTTTTACGTAGTTCAATTGAAACTTCAGTTCTCCTTCTTCGCATCTCCTAATCATTAGAAATTACATTTTATTAGTTAAAGCGGCTACTGTAAATTCGATTTACGGCTATAGTAGACACTTACATCTTGATCTTTTCCTTTATTTTTAAATAAATTAGTTCGATGATTCTCCATTTTTTATTCCTAATTCTTTTAGCGAAAAAAATAGATTTCCTTGATGCTAATGCTCTTTAAAAAACTCTTGAATGCCTGATTGATGTTAAATAATCCAATTTCTTAATTAATTCTAATTATTTATCACTCAAAATGAGTTTTTTCTTTCGTTTTTGAAAAATTGAAAATTTAAATGTGTGAATTTTCTTCGCGTGAAATTTCTAAACTCACTGAAAATTTGAATTTTTTAAGCACGTTAAAATAAGCAGTTCTTGAGACTTGTCTTTTGTTCACTGGATAGTCTCTGTCTGTTTTTTATGGTGATTAATTGATGGTTTGATGTTTTTTTGTATGATTGAACTTTCTTCAATTTCATTAACTTTGTAATATATTTGTTTTCTTTACAAACTTATCTTTCAGCCCCGAATTTTTGAATTTTTTTCGACCGTTACTTTTTTAACAATAATAAAGTTTAAAATTAGTGAAACTTATAAGGATAAAATTTTTTCTTATTAGAATCCAATATTTTATGAAAAATAAAAAGTAAAATTCCAAAAGCTTCAGAGCTTTTTTCCCTTAAAAGCTTAGCACAACACAAAAGTTTTCGGAACATAATAAAAAGCTTTAAATTTTATGATGGTTTTATCACAATCAAAGTTAAAAGTGACAGTACATTTATTTTGATCTTCATAATATCTTTTTTATATCCAGCCAATTTTTATATTATCAGGACCTTTTATGAAATAATTTATGGGCTCTCTTTCGTTATTTCTTTCCAGTCCACATGTAATGTATGTTATGTAAAATGTTTTTTAAGATTTTTTGAATGCACTTAATGCAGTTTTTGCAACATTGAGTATTTTTGGGTTGTCAATTTTCAAAGCGTTGTCAAAATATGTTTTTTTTTTCTAGTGCAGGCATCGGCAATCAATTGAGATATTTTTGGATACCCATCCATAAATGCTGTTAATTTCCGCAGGCAAGTGTTCACTTCCATCGGTGATCTTTGGAACTAAATAGCGAACCTAAAATTAAATGTGATTGTTCACTTTCAGTCAGTTTTATAAGAAGTAGCAATTCCTTAACCTTCAAAATGTCACTTTTCACTTTTTAAGACAATTATTTTGCTGATTAACCTTTTCTTGTTAGGGGTGTGTGCATAAATTCTAAGTATAACTCTCTGTTACTATCTCTACTCACCTCATAATAAAATTCTTTACATCTTGCACCAAAGTTGCAATATCTCCGTTTATTGATTTGATTTCTATCGCAAACTTTAGTCTTATATTTTTTAGGATATGCATTAGGACCTAAATGCACATATTCTATATTATATGGACATCCACACGGTACTGTATGACTCCGATCTCTTTTGTCAATAAGTTGTGGTGATATTGGTTCCAAAGAGTTGAATTGCATGTCGTCAATGATGTTAAATATTTCATTACCATTGAAATCCTGTTCGTAATTGTTATCAGTCTCGATTGATGGATCAAAGAATGGATAGTTGGATATAGGAATTCCTTCAGTCATTATTGCTATTGCGATGGTTGTGATCTAATAAAAAAACAAAATTATACTAAGTCATCCAACAGAATCACAAGAGGAGATTTATATTACTCACCAATAGCCTAAACATCTTAATAACGACTGATAATTATTGGACCTCCTTCACTCCATTTTATATGATTCTGTCTCTTTGTTGGTCATTTTCTAAGAAGCGTTTTTTTGACATCATCGCATCCTCATAATAATAAGAGTCCATGACAAATTATTATTATCCCATTCAATAGATCAGCTGTACATCTTTTATGAATGAATATGATATCCGATTTCTTGTCATCCTTTTTGAGTAACACTTATGTGAAGGTGTACATTGTTTATTAAGTATAAATATCGATTCTTACCATTGTTTCAAGCATTATTGATAAAAGTCCACACTGAAAATATTTTTGTACTTACTCTACATTGTTCAGTGAATGATGGTCTACGCGTTATTAAAAAGGTGGAAGAATTTTTTTTACCGATGGAAATAAAAGAAAAATTCTAAAAACATTTTTAAGGATTCTCTTTCAAATCACTCACATGTCAGGCTTTTTTTTGCGCAAGAATGTTGAATGAAAGGAGGAGGAAGGTATCAGTCAGTTATAGTTTTGAATTTGATTGTGAATGAAGTTTCAATTTTGCTGACGAAAGTGTAAAAATAAAATTTGTTTTAAATTTGGTAACTTTTTAATCTTAAACATAGCCTTTATAAATATGTGAAATTTTCTAAAACTTACTTAATGTGCGCATTTTGGAATATTTGCAAATCGATAAGAATGATTCTTAGCAAATATACTTAGGGGCCGTTCACTTATTACGTTACGCAAAAAAACGACTTTTTCACCCCCCCCCACCCCCCCCTGAACCTTCATAATTTATTTTATCATTAAAAAGGTGGAAAATTTAAAAAAATGTTTTTGGTGTGAATTTGTAAACAAATTTTTTTCGTGAACTTTTTTTTAAAAGACAGACGACAGTTAGAACGTTCCATATTTCTTGACACCCCCCCCCCCCCCCCCCCTACTTTACATTTTGTTACAACTTTCCAAACCCCCCTCCCCCCTAAAATCCGAACGTAATAAGTGAACGGCCCCTTATGTTTGTAGTTCAAAATGAATCCGTACATGCGAGTGAAAAAAGTTTTCGAAATTTTCTTTCAATATTGCAAACTTTGAATTAAAGTTGAGATATTTTGGATATGCCAAGAATTTTTCAGAGTTTTTGAAATTTTCAAACATTCATTAGTTTTTCAATTAGAATATTTATGATGTAATGTAATCGGAAAACTTCAGGCTCTGAAACATGAAATCTTAAGGAAAGATTGAGATTGTTTAAAGATAAGGTCTATCCAGGGGCGTAGCCAGGGGAGGGGGCATAGGGGCCCGGGCCCCCCCCCTACGAAAATCTGATAATTGTTTTATTAAGCATTTATAGAGAAGAACCAGTTAATGTAGAGGAAGTGATGAAAGAAATTTCAAAATCACCACGAAAAATTAAATTTAATGTATGAATAATGAATTAAATATTTAAACTTATGAAGAATGAATATAGATTTAAGGATACAAAATTACGTTTTTTTTAATTTTCGAAAATGGGCCCCCCCTTAAAAATTTTCTGGCTACGCCCCTGGGTCTATCAATTAAGGGAGAAGGAATGTCTGAGATTTTGTGACAAAACGTAGAAAAATAAAAGGAAATAGAGAATAATTGCATCACACAAGTGGACCTGAATTCGTATAAAATTCTCCAGTTCCCAGCATTTTTATAAATCGAAGATTCTTTGATTATCAATCCATTATAAAAAAGACTTAAACATCACCGGCTTTAGACAATGCTTCATTCTCAATATTAATAGCAACTGCCAAATGCTCCCAACATGATCAACATGTTCCATAAAAATTACCTTCCAAAAATATCAAATACTTTTACAACCAGGAAAACTTCATCGATAAGCAAGCATAAAGTAGAAGCCATAAAGTTAACACATACTTTTTCTTTTTGTACTTTGCATGCATGCATGAACAGTTGTCACACTCCCTTACTTTTACATTTTACGTACGAACTGTTACCAACTTTTATTTATCATAAATAGAAATGAAAAGGAAACAAAGGAGATACAGGTGAGTAGAACAAAACTTTTATTTGCAATGCAACAATTTTACTTGAAACAATTTTTGTTTTCATAGGACCACATTTAATAATTATCAGCTACAAGAACTTGAGAGAGCTTTTATGCAAACACATTATCCTGATTGCTTTTTCCGGGTATATATTATATAAGAAATAGTTAAAGCTATCTTTTTGTCCCCCAATAAGGAAACCTTGACAGCTACTATGCTAATCTATCATTTTGTATTACAGGAAGAACTAGCACTGAGGATTGATTTAACAGAAGGTATTGATATTTTAGGAACTTGTTGTAAATAACATACTCATATTCTAACAAAGATGTTTTTCTACTTTAGCAAGAGTTCAAGTATGGTTTCAAAATAGACGTAAGCAGATTACTTCAATGCCTACACATTCTAAATGAACCAATTCTAAATTACTTTTAGGTGCAAAATGGAGGAAAAATGAGAGAATCGACGATACTGGTAGTGTAGGATATGACCACAATCACCATGACGATATGGCTTCATCAACAAAATCACTTCTTCAAGATTGTGAGCAGCCCCAATCTGTACCTCAACAACAGCCTCAAATGGATCATGAATCATCTAAACTTCTTAGTCATTCAACTTCCGATGATCGCTTGTCTCCGAATTTGTTCCTGAATTTAAATTTTGAGACATCAAATGCTTTAGACACGAATGTCAATGCATTAAAGTTTGAATGGAGTAATTTTCCAAATCTAATGAATTCGACAATAACATCAGTGCCTTCAAATCTATCAATATCCCCAGTATCACACAGCAATCATAACAACAATATGCATAGCAATAAAAATTCCTTTGTTTCATCACCTACGTATGAGTTCTTGAATGTCGATCAATTTAACATAGATAACTTTAAAAATGAATGCATCTTAAATTTGGATCATAACTTATTGAATTCTGTTAATGATGCTTCATCATTAATTTCTAGTCCAATGGCCCAATCACATCGCAGTATGGATCTACATGGATTCTCTTTAAGTGACACGCTGAGTGAGACTAAGGAGCTTCTTGATCTTGAAAAGCCTATCAATATTAACATAAGTGATAAATATTAAGTACCAAAGCAATATTGCAGCAGAATAATTCAATAGATTAATTTAGTAAAGTTATTTGGAAAGTGTAGACAATGTTTTATCAGAATAGATGTGTTTATTGTATTTTAATTACGTTAATTACAACCTTTTAATATTTATTTTATTTCGTTGTTATATATTGTAATTCAATGGAATAGACAGAAGAGAATAAATTAAAAGCAGTGTTGCATTCTGGCTATTTGTCTGGATCAGATAAATTCTGAGACAGAAATTTCTTCATAAAGATCGATTCTACATGAAGATAGAAAATCTAATCTACACAAAGATTATTTCTACATAAAGATTCTGTCTACATAAAGATTCGATGTAGATGTCTACAATTCTACATTCTTCTCTGATGTAGACCTGGAAAAAATGTAGAATTGTAGACGTCTACATCGAATCTTTATGTAGACAGAATCTTTATGCAGAAATAATCTTTGTGTAGATTAGATTTTCTATCTTCATATAGAATCGATCTTTATGAAGAAAGTTTCTTAGCTAGACAAAAACTATTGAAGAATCTACATTCTTCATCTAGTGTAGACATCTACATTTGCAACACTGATTAAAAGTAAATGATTTAGAAGTTGATAATAGATCTGATGCTCTTTCCTGATTTCAGCATGTCAAAGCCTTCATTTACATCATCCAATTTTAAACTGTGCGTTATGAATTTATCGATATTAAACTTATTGTTCATGAAATCTTCAACCAACTGTGGGATTGCATCTTTGCTCTTGTATGATCCAAATAAGCATCCTTTTAATACTTTTCCGAGCAAGAAACTTGCTGGAGAAATATTAAGCAAAGCTGTAACGTCAGCAACTCCAACAAGAACACAAACGCCATTGCCTAATGCACAACTTTCAAAAGCTTGAGTCATTGTTGCTACTTGACCCACACATTCAATGGTATAGTCAATGGCACCACCATACTTTTCCATTAAATATTTCTCAACTGGCTCAGTTAATTCTTTGGGATTTACGAAATCAGTTGCCCCCAACTCACCAGCAAGCTTGAATTTTTCTGGGTTAATATCAACGCCAATAATTGTTGTAGCACCGGCATTTTTACTGCCCATAATTGCTGCGAGACCTTTATTTTCAAGCATAATAATAATAATAATAATAATGTGTGATGGGCCCAGCCTTTCAGCTGGAGGCACTGCGATTCAAATGAGAACAGAATCTATTGTACCATGCCCTTTCAAGCATAATACAAAATCAACTTTTAAGAAAATGTAAATTACTACAAACCTAATGTTCCCAGACCCCAAACAGCAACAGTACTTCCTTTTGTAACTCCAGCTGTATTGACTGCTGATCCATAGCCTAAATGATTTCAAAATTAGAGTTAAATTCTATATTTAGAACAAAGAGAAACAGTTACCAGTCGATATTCCACAACTCAATAAACAGACTTTTTCCATTGGCGCATTTGTATTTATTTTAGCCAAATTCATTTCAGAAACAACAGTATATTCAGCAAAGGTTGAGCATCCAACAAATGTGTACAATGTTTCACCTCTACAACTTATACGCGAAGTTCCATCGGGCATTACGCCTCTGATTTGAGCACCCATAAATTCCAAACAAGCATTGGAATTTCCTTTTTGGCATACGCGGCATTTGTTGCACTGTGTACACAATTATTAGGTAAATAGGGTAAATATTTGAAAATGCGATAAGGAAATGATTTAAATACTTGTGGTAAGAAAAGGGTGATGACGTGATCGCCGGTCTTAAAATTTTCAACACCGTCTCCAACTGACTCAACAATTCCAGAAGCTTCATGTCCAACAACGACTGGAAATTGTACACCGATAAATTTACCTGAACATGCTGAAACATCGCTATGGCACTGAGATGTAAATAATTTACATGAATTATCTTTAGTATTTTGAGCTTTATTGTCAGACATACAATTCCAGTGTGTATGACTTTAACACGAACTTCTCCTGCTTTTGGTGGATCAACCTGAATTTCCTCAATCTTGAAAGGTTCTTGAGGCTTCCAAGCAACGGCAGCACGGCATGTAATAACTTTTCCTTCACTCATTTTGTTTAAAACTGAACTTTATTCAACTGATGCTCACACGAGACTGACGATCATCAAGAATATTTATTGCCTCCTCACATTTTCTACAAGTTCAAGCGAATGCACACAATGATAAATTTTCATATGCTTTGCTTTGTTTATTCTTGCTGATGCTATCAACTCTTTTGTGTTTTACGCTTAATAGAGTTACTACTAGAATATTGGAGTGTTAGAGAAGATGTGCAAAAAAAAAATATTTTTTTTGATGTTCTAAAATAAATAATATCAATACTAATAAAAATCAAACAAAAGCAAATTATCATGTATTGCCGTTTTTTTTAAAGGCATGCGATTGGATTCAAGAACAATTCATGATATTCCTTGAATCAAGAAGTTTGATTGTATTTGAAGGCTTTTTTGTGCGAATTTTAATCATTAGCTGTCGATTTTTTTTTTCAAAGTGACGCTATTTAGTCGTTTTATAGACTGAATAAAAATATTGGATGATGATGATGATGATGATACACATTGGTGAAAATCAATCAATTTGGTTACTTAATTTGATGATTTACTCAAAAAAAATGAAGTTTTGGATAGAAAACCAGAACTCAAAGTCGACTCTACTCCATACAAAATTCTATCGACTTCGAGCTCTGGAAAAGATAAGACTTAAACTTCAAGGGTCTATTTTTGGAGAAAATATGACAGTTACGACATGAATCATTGATTAATGATGTCGATCAAACAGTTGAATTTTCATTGCTAGCCTTAGCTGGCCTAATCCTCCCTCGTCATAAAATTATACTTCTTTGACATTCATAACAAGGAAAGTGTCACTATCTACATATGGATATTGTTACCTAATCAAAAAAATTCTTACACTTAATTCCAGATCAAGGCGTATACACTCGGAATTAATTTCAAAAATCCCAGAAAAATTCCAGCACTTCATGATATAAAACTTCGAATCCCACTTGAAATATCTCAATTATTCATCAACGGGGCCATTCACTTATTACGTAACGCTTTTAGGGGGAGGGGGGGTCTAAGATTTTGTTACGGTTCAAACAAGGAAATTTTTTTTTACACGCTTTTTATTGAGTTGCTCTGTCTGTTGGTTTCTTTGTCACGTTCAAATCTTGCAATCGATTTTTCGACCACTTCTACTTCTTCAATCAAGCTCAAATTTTTTATGCACACGTGTTCCCGGTGACAATACAATATTTTAAGACTTTCGAAACACAAAAATGCTTAATTATAGTACAATTTATGTAAAACTTTTTTATATGGGAAAAAAATCCAATGTCAATGATATAAAATTTTGATTTGTATTAAATATTATACTTGTGATGCTCTAAAGTCATTTATATGATTCATTATAGTTTAATTAATATTACTAATTATTAATTATACCATAAATTTGAGCAGCTAAAGATATTCTGGTAAGACAAAAAAATTGACATGTAATTTTTTCATGAATATTCGTAAGTGAAAATTTGAATTTTCAAAAAAACCGTTAAGCTTTAGTCCGTCACGAATTAATGCAAAATAACTATTAATATGCGATGTGCATTTACCACACATATTTTGAGCATAATTTATGCTGTTTTAAATGTATTGCATTATTTATAACACTTCACCAACTTAATTAAATTGACTTTTCTTTTTATTAACGGCTTGACGTATTTTTGCATAACATATGAATGATATTCATTGAATTTAAATTTGAAAATCCGTTATAAATACGTTACATATAGATTTGATTTGCATCTTTATGTTAAGAATCCACACGTTATGTAGTAGGAATGGTTCGGATAAACACAAAATCTTTACGAGTGATTTTTAATGTACTTTACTAATGAATGCTTTAAAAAAATTAAATTTTATAAAACGAATGAAAAATTTTGAAAGTCGTTACTAATTTCCCATTGAAAACTGGTAATTTATAAACAGTTGAACGCAACGAAGTGAAGTTCAACACACCTGTAACCTATAAACCTACTGTAATCTATAAACAGTTGAACGTAACGAAGTGCAACGAAGTGGAGTTCAACACACCAGTAACCTATGAACCTACTGTAATCTATAAACAGTTGAACGTAACGAAGTGAAGTTCAATACACCTGTAACCTACAAACCTACTGTAATCTATAAACAGTTGAACGTAACGAAGTGCAACGAAGTGAAGTTCAACACACCTGTAACCTATAAACCCACTGTAATCTTTAAACAGTTGAACGTAACGAAGTGAAGTTCAATACACCTGTAACCTACAAACCTACTGTAATCTATAAACAGTTGAACGTAACGAAGTGCAACGAAGTGAAGTTCAACACACCTGTAACCTATAAACCCACTGTAATCTTTAAACAGTTGAACGTAACGAAGTGAAGTTCAACACACCTGTAACCTATAAACCTACTGTAATCTATAAACAGTTGAACGTAACGAAGTGCAACGAAGTGAAGTTCAACACACCTGTAACCTATGAACCTACTGTAATCTATAAACAGTTGAACGTAACGAAGTGCAACGAAGTGAAGTTCAACACACCTGTAACCTATAAACCTACTGTAATCTATAAACAGTTGAACGTAACGAAGTGCAACGAAGTGAAGTTCAACACACCTGTAACCTTTAAACCTACTGTAATCTATAAACAGTTGAACGAAACGGAGTAAAACGAAGTGGAATTGAATTTGAATTGTTGTGGTCGAAATTCGATTAAAAGATTGAGACTAAAAGGTAGCAAATAAAAAAACGTTAAAAAAAACTTTTTAAAAAACACGCCTTATCAAAAAGACTAAAAACCAAAAAGTTGAAAATAAAATAAGATCACACTTTTAGCGAATCAGGATTTTAAAATTTTCTTGTGACATCTAGAAATGTAACATAAATTTTTTTCAAAAAATTGTGATTAAATCCAAGAACACAATGACTCTAAAAGCGTGGGGCGTAATTTAAGGATAATTTCTTAGTTCAGCTATGTTCTTAAGAGAACGTCAAGTCTCAAAGCCCCACGCTTTTAGAGTCATTGTGTTCTTGGACTTAATCACAATATTTTGAAAAAATTTATGTTACATTTCTAGTTATCACAAGAAAATTTTAAAATCCTGATTCGCTAAAAGTGTGATCTTATTTTATTTTCAACTTTTTGGTTTTTAGTCTTTTTGATAAGGCGTGTTTTTTAAAAAGTTTTTTTTAACGTTTTTTTATTCATACAAATTTTGTTACGAGGGGGGGGGGGTCTAAGAAGTCATTTTTTCGCGTTACGTAATAAGTGAACAGTCCCAACTGAAGTAGAGATTTCAAATAGGATTCAAACTTTGATGACAGGAACTGCTAGTATTTTTGTGATTTTCTAGGTATTTTGTGATCAGTAGAGCGAGTGTATCGCTTAGATCCAGACACCATAAGACTCTCTACAGGAAATCATTAGCCAATGACTGTCGAGATCAGTCGTGATAATTATTATTGTATCCAATAAGAACACTTAATCTGTATTTAAAATCACGACAGACATTAAAATAATGGTCAAAGAACTCATAAAGCAGATCATAAAATCTGAAAGATATTAAACAATGAACATAAAAGCATCAAAATTTAATAGAATTTCATAGTTAATTTTTATTGTATTTTTTCATCTTTCTTCTATGCACTTTACTTCATCAATAAATTAAACATAATTTATTTATTGCACATACAATTTTTTTATATTTTTTTTTTTTTTCATTAAGTTTCAATTTATTTATTTTTTTTTATAATTTACTTTTAGCTGAATACTTCTGATATATCATTACTTTTTTTCTGATAATTTTTTCACTCGATTGTTTTAGACACAAATTTGATAATTTTTTTACTTTTTGACTTTTTTTTTCATATTTTGGAAATATTCAATTTTGGACATTTCTAAGAATTTACTTTCTCATTCGTCTCGATCCTTCAAACAATTGGTTTTATTTTTTTTTACTATAAACAGCTTTTATCATCATATTTGGAAGGTTTTATCTGGTTTAATTTAATTTATACAATAATATGCGACCTTCTTTAATTAAATTCCTGTTTAATTTAAAATTTGATTGGCCTATGTCTAGTTATGTTCATTATTAATTTAATTTTGGTTCCTTCTATTTAATTATTTCTTTTTTATGTAGCTCTACATAACAATTTATTATTTATAATTTACTTATCAAAGTGTATGTATGTATATATGTATATATTTATATATAAAACAGAAGCAACGATATGAGATACGAAAGGTAAGTTTCATGTTTTTTAGGCTTTTCATCAAAGATCATGAATGTAATGATTTTTATTTGCATATGACAATGGTAGTGTTCATGTTTATTAATTCGGTAACTGAATCATCGGAAAAATTGGAATTTTTTTTAAATGTGTTATCGGCAGGATATATTGGGTATGTCCTGGGTTTTATTTAAAAAATTTATTTGGTATATCCGAAAACCGGCCCCTGGTTGGTATTTGAAATTAGTCTATAAGAAATAATATTGCTCCACTTTAAAGTCCTAATCACTTTTTATATCGGAAGATTTTCTATACATAAATTTCCTATATTGGAAATGGAAATATGAAAGGAACTTTCAATTCCCCCCCAAATATAATATTATCTAAGTGGACTGAAGTACGTTTCAAAGAGACCAAAAATTCAATAGATTTATCTAGAGAGATAAAAGAGTTCTGTTACTGACTACTAAATGCATTGAATCCAAAGAATGGGAGAAAATTTGTCTATTTTTATATTTTCTTCTGTTCATGATTTTAAAAAATGAAAATATGGAAATTATTTGTTTATAAAAGACAGTAGAAAAATCTTGTTCAGGATTGTTTTCATTCATTTCTTTATATTATCATCTATAACAAATCTATTTTTACTTAGTTTAAACGAAAACACAAAAAAACATACATACATAAAGTAACGTAAAGAAATGTGTAGAAAAGGAAAGAAAGAAAAAAATCTAAAAGAAAATGTAAAACTTCAAGTACAGCTGCTATCATTATCATAACTATCATTACATAATATTTATAATAAACCACAATCAATTTCACTTCATTTTCAGTTTAGATTCAATTACAATTTTTCGTTAACTAAAAGGCAAATAAGTTTCAAATTTTATAAACTTTAGGTGTGTTCCATTTAATTTGATTCTTAGAAAAGGTTTGGAATGATCAAATTTTAAAGTTTCAAGTTTAGAGAATGAAAATAAATGCATTTATTGGCAAATGCATCAAAAGCTTAAATATTGAAGAAATAGATTCAATTAAAACTTAATTCCAAATTCGTTTAAATAGTGTATTAAGTAGTTGTTGATAATTTTTTTAATGGAATTAATAAAAAAAATTAACCAATTTTTGAATCTTCAAAAAAGTGTAAAATACATTGTTAAGTGAATCACTCAAAACTGTTATTTAAATGCAATAAAAACTTAAAGGAATCATTATGAAAACATAAAACACAATCTCAAGTCTATTAAAATTAAAATAACTTTAAATTTTCAATCAAATGAACCGAATAAAAATGATTTTTGATTGAATTAGATTTCATTTTCGATTGTTTAAACAGACAAGACATGGAATAATGAACGATTTTACATGTTAAGAACACACCTAAAACATTGCTAGAAATATTTTTTCGTCAAATAAGTTCAAAAGGGCTCACATCATACAAATTTTGAAAAGATCACATTAGGAAATGGATAGAACTTTGAATGAAATGATGAATTTATGATTAATAATAATATATGAAAGTTTATACATTCAAATTTATATGTTGTTTCCTATTCTTTGATAATTTATCCCCTTCAATGTTCCACGAATAATGAATTTCATTTTTTTTTTCTGGTGCAGATGTGTGATATTTTTATTAATTAATAAACTTTTATTACCTGTATATAATTTTCATTCTAAAAAATACTTTATCATCTTTTATTTGTCATTAAAAAAAGGAGGAGGAAAGAAGTTGTTTGAAAGAATCTAAAGGAATTTTAATTATACCCAAAAAAACTACCATTAAGAGTCTACTCGACTAAGAAAAGAATAATAATTAAATTGTAGTAAATGGCAATTGTTATATATGAATCATGGCAATGACTAAAATGATGAATTCATATCAATTTGATTATAAACTTAATAACTTTCAATCTCCTTTCAATTGTGTATAATTCGAATACTTTTCACTTTTGTAAAGTTCATTTTTTCTTAACTTCCACACAAAGTAGCACAGAAGTTGACTTTTCTTTTCTCATTTTTAAATTAGAAAAAGATTTTTTTACTATATTTTCTTTTCACTTTTTTATCCTATTAATAATAATTATTATTTTTTGTATATCATAGGTATATCTTTGTTATAACAGGTATTGATTAGAAAATGTGATTAGTTTTGTTATCAATTGTTTTACATCATTTTTCTTTCCTCATTTCCATGCGACAAAAGCATAGAAAATTTATTAGTTTTTTTCTGGTTTTTCCTCTTTTTTTTAAAATATTGTTATATTATTTATGTATTAAATATAATTATTTATAAAAATTGTGCATTCGAAGAAAATGCCACAATAATCAAAATGTTTTTTTAAGAATTTGTGCTATATTTTCTTTTATCATACCTTTTCATTTCTATATAAATGTTTCTTGCAGAATTGTCCAAGCTTTTGCTTAATTTCTGCAGAATATTTGGGTTAACTTTTAGTTTTAGATAAAATTTTGATAGATTTCATTTTGGAATTACTCTTTTTAAAAATGTCCATATTTTCAATATTCTTGAACTAAGTTGGCTTTAGGACCACGACGAAAATTGATTATTCTACGAACATCAATGCAACTTTTAAAATGAAACCTATTTTATAGAATTCTTAAATCTTTTTCTGTCAGAACTTTTCTGCTGAATTGCAATTTTTGCTTAAGAATTTCATTGGAGTTTAAAAGAGATTATGATCAATTCTGTTGAAGAAGGCTGACAACTGTATTACAAATTCGCTCTTATTATTGAAAGTTTGATGAGGGAAGGAAGTAAAAAGTCACCCTAAACACTTTCTCTAAAATCTCTGTTAAATTAGAGGTAGAATAACTAAGCTCATTTTCAATGATTTTTGATACTTGGAATCTATATCTTGGAATAATTAATTGATTCAACATTTGAAAATTTTATTGCTAATAAAAGCAATTTAAACCACCGTTCAAGAAATTCTTTCCTGGAATTGAATTTGACTTCTTTCTTTGAAAAGCATATTTAGAATTAAAACTCAATGATTCCATAAATTTTGCCATATTAATGATCCACAATTCAGACATTTTAGAAATACATAAAACTGTATCAACCCAAACACAAACACAAAAACCGCAAACGTTTGAACCTTACTGCTTATTAATTTAATATTCTTAGTGATGAAAAGAAGAATGTCCTAAATAAAATCTTTAGTAACTAGCAAACCATATACTGGGATTCATACTTTCTTACTCTCGTCGGTATTATTTTGTTAAATGTTCAACAATTTAAATTATTACCAAATATATACTTTATTATTGGAAAATAAAATAAAAAAAAAGGAAACAAATTTAATCAACTTGTTTTCTCATCCTTTATAAAAGGCAATAGCAGCAAGAAAAGCATTTCGCAATTGTAGTGTAGTCATTATAAATGTGTAGGTATCATAGATAAATTGTATTTAAAAAACATTGCTGACTTATAAAATGTTTCATTTTCATTTAAAATGTAAAAATTATGAAGGAATACAAAAAAATGAAAAACAGCTTAACAAGGAATCTGGCATTTATCAATGATCATCGATAATATTAGTATGTATTTATGTATGTATGTATAGTCTTGTAGTTCATATAAAAGTTATTTTTTTTACATTATTCGGGGGTTTTTCAAATATTTTTTTGTCCTTATCCTTCTTTTTTTTGCCTCAATATAAAAAAACTTTATGTTTAGGTTTGTCTTATTCCTTGAATAATGGAATTTCTTTTTTTCACAAATCGTCTTTTGTTGATCATAAAAATAAAATCAAGCAAGAATCTCTTTTGTCTCACATTGTTACTTTTTTGTTTTTGTTTTATGTTCTTTTGCTTTCGGTACTATTGCAAATTAAAGCTCACAACTAAATATTATCATAATATAATAATAAAAACAATTACTTACTCATCACTAAGACTAGAATTTAGTGACGATCAGGATTTACTTAAATGCTCATTTTCAGGTCGTCGTTCAGTTGCGATTTGCAGAAGATTATTGAATTCGATTTCTAGCGTCTGACGGGCCTATTATTGAATGAAAACAATTGTGTGATAAGTTCTAATAATAATTGTTTCCTTATCTTAATCTTACCTGTGTATTTTGTGTTGGAATTTGTAAAGCTAATCCCATTGAATTAGCATCAAAACTCTCGTCTAAAGCTATTAATGCACCATGTACGCCGGATTCAAGCAAATTATTACCATACTCCTGTAATTAACGTTTGCAATTAATAAAGTGTGTTTTAATCAGCGTGCGCCAACAGGCTTAATGCTGTACATACCTTTAAACCAATATTATTAACCCATCGAATAACACGATCATTACTCCAAACTATAACATCTGCAAGAGCATTATCGGAGCCTTTCCGTCTTTCCTCTAACGATGTTCGGTCATAATTTAAGCGTTTTAGACAACTTATACCGTATTGAAGACTAGTGCGGTGAAAACTATCAACCATTTTGAGCTGACCACGTAAATCTTTCTTTGTTAAGTGATCCAACATTCGAGCATCAACAAGACATTCCATAAATGTCGTTCTATATTGAGGTAATCCTAAACTTGGAAGCCAATAGTTTCCAATCCACTCATGATTCATATCACCTAATATAATAAAGAGCACAAGAGGTTAATTAAAGTTATCAGCCAATTATTGAAACTATATTACCAAATGCTAAAGTTGTGCGCGTCGTTTGAGGAGCTGATGGGGATGTTAATGAAACCATTTCCTGAATAGCCAAGCGTAATTTAAGTCGATGAAGTGGGTTACTTATTCCTATATTAGACAAATCCACACATAAGATGTCGATCAAGGATAATTGAATTGACAATTTATCTTACCTATCTCTCTTTGGATCTCTGTATCGCTCAAAGCACTCATAATAGCACCAGATTTAACGTTTGCTCGACATGCTGCAACATACCATGCTGGCATTCCCACCCACAACTCTAACCAAGCAACAATTGTTACGCCATTCCATAGAGCTTTATATTTTATATTTTTATTGTAAAACAAGACGGAGAATGGAAGAGAATGAGAAAATAATGAATTAGTCAGAAGAGAAAATGTGCAAAAAATATTTTTTTGCAAAAAAAATACAGCACTCACCAAATGGTGTACCAGCTTTTATTGCCTCTCCCAGTAGATCATGTCGGTAATCATGCTCCCTAATAAAATTCATTATCATATCGAATTAAAAATTAATCAAATTTTTATTCTTACTTCTTCTTTTGTCTTCCATAATCCATTTTTGATGCCCCTGAGATATTTATCTTACTACTGATACTCATCGTATCATAGTTTGAGTCTATATCACTCATATTCATAGACAATCCACTCATAATACTGTTTGAACTATCTGGCATTGTATCTTTACCGCCCTTGACCTATATTTCCCGTAAATATATAAATCACACGTTATCATCAATCTCATTAATATTATTATTGAAGTAAAATTTAAATATCAATAACATGTATGACACTAGAACTGACCTTTTCTTTTTTACTGAAAAATCTTCCCAAACTAGACTTGATGCCTTTCTTCTTTTGAGCTCCAGCAGCATCTCTCGATGATGTTGGCGTTTGTAGCATATTCATAGACGACATACTACTCAAATGTCTTAGCGATTCCTGACTACCATGTCGTGAGTTTAATGGTGATGAAGCATAGCCAGTTGCACTCCTACATTATTATTTTTTTTTATCGTGTGTTACACAATTTGTGATGTGTGCATGTCACATTTACCAAATTTATATAAATTTTTTTGTGTGGACAATCGAGCGGGATTTATATCATGTTCAATTTTGATTTATTTTTAAAATTCAACGTGTATATTTTTTTGTGTGTGCACATGTGCGTAACGGTTGTAGATATTATAGCAGTAACAAGAGGACAAGAGAGAAAAAAAATATACAATTATTAGGATTGAATTACATTTAACGCATAAATTTTTGATAATAATCAATCAAAGCCAATATTAATTATGTGCATAAATCGATGATGTTAGTATTACAGCGTGAGCTTAGACAGACACATTAAGAATGTTTAATTATTTTCTTAAGCTTAGACACTACAGATGTTTTGCTTAGCTTAATTCTGTAGTACTTGGTCAATAGATACGTCAACTTTCAAAGCTTTGTCAAGATCATGAAAAGTTGAATTAATTCTCATTAGACTTCTTAACAATCTTTTCAAGCAAAGCTGACACAAAAGTCTTGCAAAATCATAATGAGCCGTATAAAATTATGGATTGACTTGCGACTATGAGAGTGCTGTCAAATGTTCAACAAATAATATTTACAAAGCACAATGAAAGCTTTAATTAAGGCAGCAATTAAGTATACATTTCAATTTAAAGTGAAAATTATCAATCATGAGATAATGTTTAAAGAATGACATAATTTTCTTTATTAAAATGACTTCGAGTAGTGATAAATGCAAAGAATTAGTTATCTTATGTAATTAAGTTTAATAGTATGACACAGAGGGTGAGTGATGATGTAAAATACCAAATCTACGATCAGTCAAAGCAAATGGCGACGAATTTATAAGAATAAGTGACGAATTAAGATGAATAAATGGCATATTTGATATAATTGGAAATGCCTTTCTTAAGTGAGTTAATTTTTGCTTATGCATCTTATGATAAAATTGTGAATGATATGATGCTGTTGATTTCAATGGCAATGACAATGAACTTTTGTGCACATTTGCATTTATTGTATTTGCTCGTTTACAACGAGATGATATGTGACTATTGTTCTTAGTTCTTTGCTTAAGGCACTTTGTATTGTTAAAAGTATGTGTATCAAAATTTTTTGCACTTTGACCATAACGTCTCATATTTAACGACCGACCATCATAATTTGAATTTCGTCGCTGTCGATTGTATATCAAATTAAGCATATAATCATATCTAGCTTTGACATAATCAAATTTATTCATTAACCTGATATGATTCATATTTTGTGATCCGTGTATAGGCAGTCCCATCGATCTTTAATTTATTAATTTTTAAGGTTGCAAATAATTTGTAATAAAAAAATTATTTAAAATCAACAGATAGAGATTAGTAGCGTGAGAGAGAAAGAAAAGCGTGGAAAGTAAGAAAAACAAATGTTAATAATCAATCATTACCATTATTGTTAAAAAGAAAGAATGAAAATTATGAAAAATAGAAAGAATGTGGCATAGACAATTTTTCATCCTCTTTAAGCGAGGAAATTTCTTTTTTGAAAAATTAAAGCAAAATTTAATTGCCAACAAAAAATAACAACAACATACCTTCGTAGCTCTTCCTGACTATTGGCTAAAGCTTGAGCAAATCTTTCGAGTCGAATGGAACGTGCCGTTAAGGGTGATGTTCCCCCGCCAGAACTTGAATCACCTCCTGATACTGACAGTCCATGAAGCTCATCACGAGAAATTTCTGCTGACATTTGTGCAAGCTGAAGCTATTTAAATTGAGAGAAAATGAAATAAATTATTATTCAGTTCATATCCTTCTTCAATGTACCAAACAGAATTGTTATTTTAGTCTCTCGTTCTAATCAATAACAATCCTGACTGACACAAATTCAAATCATACGGAAAAAAATGCATGCAAAAATGATTAAATTTAATACAATATCGCAAAATAATCAACAATTACAGATTGGGGTTGGATTCAGAGTAATCTGTATACTTTGAATCATGCTAGGAATGTAAGGAAGGAAGCATCAAATAATTATTTTTAAGCGTAATTGTAAAAATCTTATTGTGACCCATTTTTGCTTAAAACTTGCTATTATGTTATACTTGGTTGACTGACTGGATAAATCATATGATGTCATCGTTACGATTCGATAATAAAGCCATAGATAAAGTATTTGTCAGAGTATGAAGTTGATTTGGTGTTTTAGCTTTAATTTCTTTGTCATTGTATTTTAAAAATTACCAATTTAATATGTGCTTTATAAATATATTCCTTAATAAATCCTACACAAGATACATATTTAGTATTTATCTGATTTAAATAAGTTAAACGTGTAGGAAATTTAGCCAAATAAGATTTACAAATTAATTAATGTTCTCCCTGAAATTCATTAAGTAAGGGTTCAAGTCCCAACAATTATTAACAATTTTAATTCTACAATGACAGCTAATTTTTGCATTTTTAATTTTGATAATTTTTTTTAAAATCTATTAAAAGTCTTTTAAACTCTGTGATTATTTTACTGATTGTATAAGCAAAAATGTGTATTAGTCACCATATATCAGATGACTTTTGAGTATATAAATTTTGTTTTTATATAGATAAAATTAATTAGCATGATTAGTGGTTAATGATATGTAAGAACACTGATGCAATCAAAATTTTTTACATATTATAATAAAAAGATAAGACAACTCTTTTAAATATATATCACATATGTTATTTTCATGTTTGAGAAGAGTTAGAAGGTATAAATAGAAAGAAAATATCAAAAGCGTAAACGAAATCGGTATATTATGCAAAATACTCATTCTTCTTTGTTTTTTGCAAATTCAAAATTCACCTGACTAGAAGGTAAAGATTCTGAAAGTTGACCAGATGAGGCGTATTGCTGCAAATGTGCAGGAGACATTGATGCTGGCGCCTATATGATGATTATTATTGTTCGCACATATTTTTATGATCTTATTACTCAATAATTTATCATTTTTTTATTATGATAAAAGAAGACACTAAAATTTTATTTTCTGTATATGTATATGTGTATGTTTATGTTCACCGTTTTTTCATTCAATTAAAAATATTTTTTTGTAGATATTCGAAAAGAATTTTTTTGATAAGATTTTACATATAAACATAATAAATGATGACATAATAACGCTTCCAATTGATTATTTTTTTTACAACATATGTGAGTAAATGTGAAATGTATTCATGTTATGTTTCTACTAGGTTTAAATCATAATAATGACAACATTAAATAATTATATTTATACTTACAGTATGATATTTATGAAGATAATCACGGTTAGGGCTATTGGGCGTGCTTCTACCACTTAATGGTGGAGGACTTTGTCGATCAGGACGACCGCGTGTTAATAGATTCATGTGCTCTAGACTACCAACACGAGACTCTAATTCCTCGGCACGAGCCTCTGTTGATTGCTTCTCTTCTTGAATTAATCTGCGTGAATAATTTAATGATATTATATGAAGTACTGTTCCATTAGCAAGGAATATTTCATTAAATATTTAGCAATTTGAGGAAAACGAAAGCAAGAGAAAATAAACAATACCTTATTTCATTATTTATGGCATCAAGTTGCTCTTGTAGCATCATGGCAAGAGTTTGAGCATCGGTATGGCCTGTACCAGTTGGCGATAATAATTCGGCAGTACTAAATAAGCTTTCAGCATCATCGCCATCAGCAACAATTCCATCAACAAATGCATGATTTGCCATAGCATGCGCCTGTTGCATTTGTTGAATATTTTCCCATTCTTGTTCGGCTAATGATCGATGATATTGCTCCTCTTCCAATCTTTGTTGCTTTCTTCTTAAAGAATGAGCATCGAAGCTTGAATGAGACGCACTTCGAGAGAATTGAGCAGCAAGTTGTTGGGGATCAGTAACATTATTTGGAGATAAACTTCTCGTAAGAGCTTCTGTTTGTTGAATATTAAAGGCAATTTCTTGCTGAAGCAATTGTCGCTTATAGTTTTCGATCTCTAATCGACATTTTGAAAGCTCTTTAATAATATCTCCCTTTTCATGATGCAACTCTTCAGCAAGTTTACGTGCTTTTTCTAACTCTTGCGTTAATTGATTTTTTTCATCTAACGCATGCATTCTTTCTTTCAAATGAACTTGAAGTCGATCATTTGATTCCGATAATAATTTATCAACTGTCGATGATAATCTTTGATTATGTTCCTCATTCATCTTTAATCTTTGGTTGAGACGAAGAACTTCCGCATTCTTCTCTTCCAAATTAGCTTCCAATCTTTGAATGCGATCTTCTGCAGAACCGTGACGTTCTTGAGCCTTTAATATTGTCGAGAAAAATACATCAAATCATTTCATTAAATTTTTCGAGATAATTTTATGTTATTTTTTTGTTAATTACATCGAGATGCATGAAATATTAAAGGAGCAATATCGCTAGAATCTAAAGGCAATCATAATAAGCCATACAATATTCTAGCAACATTAAATTAATTGCTATGACAAAATGATAATAATCTAAGATTCTAAGGGTGCACCAATAAAGAATTCTTGAATTTTGGTCAAATAATTTGTTGATATTTTGGAATAAAATGTAAAGTTCGATTGAATGTTTCTATAAACAAATTAAACGAAAAATGATAATAAAAGGTATTTGGTATAAAATCAAAAAATCAAATTTTAAAAAGTTATATCAATTTCGAAATGTTGGAAATTTTATTTTTAAGTATAGAACGTGATTAACCTTGGCTTTAAAATGTAGTTTTTAACTTTCAATTTTCGTTCTGCTTTAAATTTATTCTAAATTTTTCAACGTACGAAAATTTTTTTGATATATTTTTTTCTAAACTTAAATTTCATTTTTTCATCAATGATTTTTTTGAAACAACTGATTCTTTTATTAAAACTAATCCCAAGTCGTTACAGTTCAACGATTTGCAAATTATCACAAACGTCAACTTTACACATCTCGTTTTATTTATAAATCTACTTAGAAGTTGTATTAAAAATAACTAGACCGCAAAATTAGATTCATTGGTACACCCTTTCTAACACCTATGTGCGATTAATTTCTTAATAATCTGTGATCAAAAAAATTTAAAATTTTGTGCTTTTAAACAGAAGAGAATGATGATTCCAATATTGTTCGGGGTAGCAGAATTAAGAGAAACAAAAAATTTTTTTGTTGAATTTTGAACTCATAAAGGAACAAAAACAATAAAATTAAAGGAAAAATAAATTTTCATATTCGTATGATATCTTGTTAGTAAATGATGAAAATGTTAGTAGTTATAACTGCTCGTGAGAGTAGTAGTGCAGGGTGTCTTGAGATGTATTTTTCAATTAAAGAAAAAAATATATATATATTTCATAATTTGTTTTATAATGTTTCAATTTGTTTCTTTATATATATCCACAAGAATCATAAAAGAAGAGAACTAAAATTTGTTTTTTGTTGTTTTACAAAACAGAGACAAGACTTCTTCCAAAAACAAAAAAAAAATATGAGAAAAAGAAAGAATACTAAATTAATTAACTGTGCATTAAGAAAGAGTAATGAAATATAACGTTGTCCCTTATTTTTTTCAAATATTATTAAATTGTTTAGACAAATTAAGACAATTATAAAGTGAAAATTATACTAGTAAAAACGTTTTTCCATTGAGCTAATTAAAAGATAAAAACTTTTTTAAGATTATCTAGTTTCGAACAACATCGATTAATTATATAGAATCATTAAAATTCATCATATTAATAAGACATTCAAAGCTCTAGCGTAAAACATATTCTTAAAGTACTGTTTTTTGAAAGAACCTTTCAATTAAAAAAAAAAATAAGAAGTGATATTCTTCCATTAATTAATTTAATACAGAATTGAGTAATTTAGCAGTAAAAATTTTCCAACATTAATAGTAAAAGTAACCGATGTTTTTTTCTCTGTTGGTCAACATCTGAAAGACCCCGTCTGCCTACCTGTGAGCCTACCTGCGTTAAGGCCTCCATCCTGGCCTTAAGCTCTTCTTCCATTTCGGGTAGTTTTGAAAATTGAGCTAATTTTTGATCTGACAATTCGAGTTTCTCTTGAATTGCCGCAATCTTTTCCTCGTGTAGCTAAAGTGAGAAAATAGAAGAAATTTAAATTAATTAAATTGTCGTAAAAATAAAATAGAATAAAAAAATCAGTCACCTTTATTTGAGCTTCTTTATGCCGCAGCTCTTGATCGAGTTTTTCGTTCAAATCATGCAACGACGAGGCCTCCCTTTGTGCATTTAAGTATCGCTTTTCGAGTGTTGTAATTCGTTCTTCTTGATCCTCCTTTTGTGCAACATTTTCCCTCAAATCTCTTTGTAATTTTAAGCACATATCTTGAGATTTTGAATAATCTTTTTGTATCTTTGACAAAGTCTCTTCTTGCTCACTAATTTTATTATTTAAATCAGAAACTCTTCTCTGCCATTGCGATAGCTCGGCTGTCTGTTTTTCAATGATTGTTTGAAGCTCATGAGTTTTTGCTGCAAATTCTGCCATTTCATGTTGTATATTAATTTCACCATTATTAATTTTCGACTGAGAATCTTTGTCGAGTTCTCCATTCTCTTTGGTTAAATCTTGATTCTGAGTATAATTTCCTGACTTTACTTGTTGCAATTCGTCTTTTGTCTGCTGCAATTCCTCCTCAAGCGATGTATTCTTTTCCAATGAAACTCTTAATCTTTCACGAACTTTTTCGTCAAGAGCTTTGTGATGTTCAAATAAACTTTTGAGAGCTTTTAAAACCTCAACTTCACTAGACACGCCACTTTGTGCCGCCGCTTGTCGTTTAACAACAGTCATACGCAAAGATCTCTCATGTCGCGATACAAGACATTCTAAATGCTCCAAAAGCAACTATCAATGTGAATAAAATTATTATTTTGTGTTGTTTGGATGCAAACGGAAGGTGGAAGAGAAGAAAAGGAAGAGAAAAATATAACATTTTTTTATAGGAGATGGAAAAATCATTTCCTTTTTATCTAAATTCAATCTTTTTCTTACTCTTGTATTATTTCTCTCAGCTTTCAGCTCACTTATTTCCTCATCTCTTTCCAGTAATGTTTCTCGTGCCCCTGTGAGCTCTTTTGTCAAGGTTGCGAATTCCTATAAAAATTAAATTCACAATTACAACATTTATTTGCGATACAAGATATGGGCAGCAGTTATAGAAAAATAAAAAATAGTTGAAATTGTTTCTTTTCTTTCATTTCATTGGGCTGCGGCAACAACTTATTACTTGTCTATACACAACTGTTTTCGCAGTTTTTAAAGTATTAAACGTCTTTTTAAAATTCGAATTTTATGGAGGATTTTTGAGGATTTTAAAAAAGTATGAATTCGATATTTATGAGGTCGAAAGACTAGGTTGAAAACTACTATCAAAAAGTAAGGATATCAATGTGAAATGGAGCATAAATGGTCGAAAACCACTATCAAAAAGTAATGATATCAATGTGAAATGGAGCATAAAATTCAAATTTATTTTGACAGTTAAAAAAGTAAGTTTGATATTTCACGATTGAGTCCAAATTTCATTCAATATTTTTTTACTCTTTGAAATGTTGGTCTATGTAGCTTAACTCTTAATATGGATATTTCATTTTCTTTCACTTTCTATAAATCACATGTGATATCGACAAAAAAGAAGCATAAACTATTACGTTTATATCCATAAAAGTTGTCGTAAGATTCAATCATAACATATACGTAGATTAAGTGAAAATGATAAGTCCATATTATTTTAAGCAAAAAAAATTGAAGGAAAAAATGGAACTAAAAATACATATTTTAGAAAAAAAAAGAAATAATAATTAGCTGAGCGAGAAAAAGTGTTATGAAACAGAATTGAATAATTGTTGCAAGCAGCATTACACCTTATGCACTTAAAAACAAAATCAAGAAACAAACAACAATATAATCTTAATAATAATAATAATAGTAAGGAGGAAGGAATGAATATGTTTGAAAAAAAAGTCGTGGAACGTAGACTTTGTGTAGTAGACGACGAGTGACATAGAGAAAAGAAATATTTACAAAACTCACCTGTGGTAAATTGGCATTAATTTGTCGATGCAAACTATCTCTCTCCTTCTCACAGTCACCAAGCTTCGATTCCATTTCATTGAGGCGTTCTTGTGCTTCTCGCAGACTATCCATGAGCTTGTCACGTTCGTCCAGCATCGATACCATAAGTTGTTCGAAATTAGCATCTTCACCACTGAACTGTGACGATCGCTGTGAAATGGAATCTTCACTGATTGTTGGTAGAACGTCACACATCATGTTCCACATTTTATTAATTTTTTATGGATGTGACTGTTGTGTGACTTTTGCCAAAAATAATATAACACGAAAATTTCACTAGTTTTCAACGACAAATTTGATAAAATTGATTGCTTTCTTTGCGAAAAATCTATGGAGATTTTCCTATATGTATGTATATACTTCCTCTCTTTTTCCTCTACACTTTTCACTTTTTAGATGGATGGATAAATGAGGAGGAGGAAGAAAATTAATCAAGAAACTTTTTTTTTTCTTAAATCTGTCGTGTTTCTCTTGATTTTTTAGTCTCTTCACTATCAAATACACTTAATTTAAGCTTTAACACTTTTAAATAATCATACAAGAAGACTTTTACACATGATTTTCAGTGATTTCTAATAATTTTAAAGAGAGAAAATTCTGCAAACAAATTTTAACTTATTTTTGTTCATTTTTCACAACTTTCTCCGATACTTCATGATACTTTTCTTATTGATTGCGATAGAAACACTTTTGGCACAAAGTTATCCATGATTTCTAGACCAATTTAATGATTTTTAAATAATTTTTCATATAGTTTTTCGTATTTTGATTTTTTTTCTGTTCCTTTCTGAACGTATGAATATCTTAGTCGTTGCTTCTTGATGCCTTTCGTTAAGAAATTTGAATGCCTCATAGCCGTTATGCCTTATTGTCGACAAATGTTGCTAGTAACTTGACTATTTTAAGTTAAGCACAGTTGAGTTTGTACCTATCTCGTTCATGATACATGTGATGCATGTGATACACAAAAGTGAAAAATAGTGTACTCGAGTAGGACCTAGATCTTAAATCAAATCTACTATACCAAAAGAACGATATTCAATTAAAAGTCTTTTACCATTCGAAAATCTGATTAAGGCATTCCTTTTTTGCACACGCTCATGATTATTACCACCAGTGTCTCAAAACACCTAAACCACTTAGTGACAATCGCAAAAGGACCCAAAAGACACAAAAAACAAGCAACACAACATTGAAAACATGAAATAAAACATGAGTACGTCCAAAAATATCTTAGTATGATGGATTGACTCAAATACAATCATTTTTGATCTCTGGATATTTTGATCACATAGTGTAGTAAATTGTAAAACGCAAAAAAATTAAGAAATTTAAGGATTAATAATGGAATTGGAGTATTTAGAGGCAATACTAAATGAGTTTTATCATCATGGAACATCGAATTTTCGTAAAAAAGAGATTGAGGCCCAATTAAAAGAATTTCAGGAACATGCAAATGCATCACAAATTTGCATCCAAAATCTCACGAATACTTATGGGCTAAATAATCAGTTTATCTTTTTCTTCTCAGTTTCGACATTAGAAGTATGATTATTAAGTTGTTTTAACTATCTACGTGATATTAAGCATGAAATTTCCTTTTTTTTCGTTACTCATAGTTTACAATAACAAAAAATTGGTTCATCATTGATAAGAAATTAAGGATCCAGATAAGGGATATGCTGTGGTATATTTATTCTAGTTTTCCACCAAATGTAGGAGCATTACAACGTGATAAACTAGCCCAACTTATCGCATTAATCGGTAAACGAGAGTTTCCAGTAGATCATGCAGACTATGTCAATCAAATATTATCCCTGACAAAGATGAAGTTCATTTTGGGTATTAATCTATTAAAATCAACATCTAATGAAATTTGCAGCACTAAAGTCGATTGCAGTCATCAGCAGAAGAGCAAATTTGTTCAAAGGTGAGTACGAAGTGAAGTCAATAAGAGTTAATTAATAGTTCAACTTTCACTTTCAGCATGATTTTATGTCTAAATGACATCATGACTTTACTGGGAAAATTTCTTACACTCTGTGTATGTCATGTGAGCAATAATGAATTAATTGTTGGACCTGAAATGGACTTTGACATACACCGATCTTTACCAAATGACGAGCGCTTTTCATTTTCCTGCTGTGAATTATTGAATACAATTGCCAGCATTTTTTCATGGGTTCCTTCAAAATTTATGGAAACGATAATGAATGTGGAATTCTTCAATAATATTTATGAATTGTCGTCATTTACTAATGAGAAGTGTATTAATGTCCATCTTACAGCCATCACGACAATCTGTGAATTATTTTATCTCCAAAAGCAAATTCCTCAATTAAATCTTCAAGCGAATGGCATAACTGAGTTGATCCAACATAAGAATCTTGCACAATCACCAGAAGAGTATCAGGATAAGATAACAGAATTACTTAAATTATTTATCCAGCAACAATGGTCGAGATTCGTTAATCAGCCAGAATTTCCATCAAAAGAATTCCTTTTGTATTTATTCAGCTTCACATTCTCGGATAATATCAGTGCATTGACATTTGGTGAACGACTGTCTTTATGGATACCAATAATTAAGAGTTTCGATGAGAAGATAGCACCAAGATATACGGAAACAATAGTTCAGTTGATATCAAATGTGATCCTTAAAATGCAGTTCCAAAATAATTCAGAATTATTGGATCTTTTAGACACGGAAGAAATGGACGAAAATATGGAGACTGAATTACAAAGTTTCAGAAACAACTGTATTGAAATTGTCTTAACAGCTGCTGAAATTGAGCCATGCAAAATTTTTGATCTACTGAACATAGAATTTACTAAAGAAAATGGACATTTAAAGAACTATGTCAATCTACTCAGCACTCTACCTGATTATTCGAAAGATTTAACAGTCAAACGAGTGAGTTTAAGTCAAATTGTAAGATATTCTGCAGATCCATCATTTCATTTACACTGCATGTGTAAGGATCTAACGACATTACTCCAAATGGTCACTCAAACATGCAATGTGATTCTAGTGATTACTTGTGATAGAAATAACTCGATTACTAATATAATTAGGACATGCATAATTTTATTAAAATTAGCGAATCAGAAGAAATTGCATTTATATGACTTAGATGTTCAGCTTAAAACTGATTTGATAGAATTACAGGCACAAATATTAACAACAGTTCGAGGATTAATGTTGCTTAGAACTGAAATTTATGAGAATCATAATGAAATTTTTGAATTAATTGAGTCAGTTATGTCTGCATTATTGCCATCACGTTATGCATTTATGGAACCACCATTGGTATTAAATACAGCCGTTCAATTAGTGGTAACAATAACGACAGTTCTACGTCCGAATTATTTCCTCAAAAATACACTAGTCCAAGAACTCTTTCATAGCGATTTGAGCAGATTTGATGAACAGATTCGACTTCAAATCAAGCTTGTTGTATTTAATGCTCTTGTGCTGCCATACAGCAACATTGCTGTAAACTTAACAGAAGAACAGGAATATGAAAAGCGTGGAGAACTTCTTCAACAATATGTTGGATTTATAAGCTACAAGTTTCTATCCTTAAATGTTCAATCAAGCTACATTGCAGCAAAGCATGAAATACGATCAGAAATGAAGGATTATGAACACTTATTAAATTCTTATGAGAATACAAATAATTATTCAAAGCAGATCCTCCTTAGTGCTATAAATCCAATTATCAAGAAGTCAATAGAAATCTTTCAATTTGCTGCCAAAAATTATTCGCATGACGAGAATGACTTATCGATAATAATAAATTTTAATTTAAGCATCGTAAAGTGCTTACAAGTTCAATTAGGTTCAGATTTTGTGATAAATATCGTAAGACTGTTCTTAGACATAGCATCGACACCAAATAGAAGTGCACATGCTTTGAATAAACTCCTTGAAATGCTCATCTTTATTGTTCAACATACAGGAACAACATCGACGCATCTTATGCCTGATATATTGAAATTAACTGTCGATGATCTCTTGAGGATTAATCCACAAATTGACATTTCTTATAATCTATTCTCATTGTATGACACAATCTTACAGAATCATTGGAATTACTTCCAGAAAAACCTATCAAATACGCGAAATAGTCAGGAAGATTTAATGAAGATTTTCACGACTTATGGACAATATTTATGTAATGGATCGCCAATTGATCCGCAGATTGGAAGAGTAATTATGGCATCATTAGAAGTTCTTAACGAAAAATGGCATTTATATGATAAAACTTTCTTTAAGAATTCACTCCTCAAATCATTCATGACAACATTATTACGTCTAATTATTTCGTCAGATGGTATTTTATTTTATGATCAAATTATCACGATTCTTTTCAATATGTCTGAGAAGAATAAGCCGGCACTTCATGAGTGCTTAGCTGCTGTATTTAGTGATAAAACGAAAATCGTTCAACTTTGTGAAGTGACTGATCTTCCTACTTTTGCTAATATTATGGAAATATTGATCCAAGATTCAAATGTAGTACATCAGTAAAGATGCTTCTATGTCATGTATTTATGTATCTTTTCATGTCAATAGTTTACTAATTTAACGGGATTTCAACAGGTTTTTTTTGAAAATTTAAATTTTTTGAAACTGTTAAAATTTTAAAATGTCGGTTTACATGAAAAGATAAATGAAAATTTTATATATTTTAATTATATTAAGAGTAAATTAATCGATGCATGTTCGATGAAGAGTCATTAATATTATTATTTGCATTTATACTTATATTTTGTATTAATTTTAAACTTAATGACATTAATTCCATTGAATATTTCTCTATAAATTATATATCAATGTATTGAAATACGGTACATTTTTAACTTGCGAATAAGCACAATAAAATTTTTTATTAATAATTAAACGACACATGATACAATTATTTAATTTCATCAAAATATCTTAGATTGGACTTTGTGGAGCAATCTCGCTGAAATAAGGAGCTTGATTTGCTTGAAGGAGTGTATTACACAAATCACAAACCTTGGCAACTTTTTGACTCGGTCCACTTTTGACAGATCGATTGCAGCATGACTCACAGAATATTGTACCGCAATGACGACAATTTCTCTTTCGGCGAGTTACTGTGAATTCTAAAACAAAAAAAATTAAGGATGTTAAATTTTAACCGTTGAGGATCAAAATTCAAATTTTAACAAGTAAAGTTCAAAAACTCAAATTTAAACTGTTAAAATTTCTACAAAATTCAAGTTAATTTTTACCTAATTTACACGTTGGACATTTATCGACATCATCTAAATCCTGCCAACGAACTTGCGAATCGGCTGATCGAATTTTCTCCAACTGCATTTGAAGCGATTGCGACAATTTTACAAAATCTTTCTGAACTTGTTCGCTAGTCGATAAATCCTGTTGCAGCATGGATAGTTTTGATTTTACTTCAAAGTTGGCTTTTTCGAGTCTATCTACATTTTCACTTAATTCAATATTTTGCATTCTCAAATCACTAATCTCTTTCTTGTTGTCGTTTTCGATTTTCAAAAGTTCTTCCTTTTCACCAATTGACTTTAAGTGATTTTGATGCTGTATCTTTAATTTGTCTTCTAAGCTGTGAATTCGATGATTTAATTTTTGTTCTATGAACAGCTTCTCCTTTTCTTTTTGATGCAATTGATCTCGTAAAAGATTCGTTTCATCACGAAAACTGACACACTTTGTCTCATTGAACTCCTGTCCGACTTTCGAGACAATCAAATTTTCATACAATTTCAAGACTAACTCGTGAAGTTCCTCTATGCTTTGTGGCAAATTTATGTCTTGGTCCTTCATTTGATTAGAATGCTCAAGATATCGACCACTCAAATATTCATTGTCTCTCTGCAAGGTCTCAAGATGTTCATGCAATTCCGATCGTTCCTCAACGACTTTAATCAATTCACGATTTATGTCATCTTTAAAATTACAAAATTCACTTTGTAACTCAATCATTTGCCGTTCACTTTCATTTAATTTATCGCATAATTTTTGGACAGCATCTTTATGCTCTTCACGCTTTGTCTGCCATGTCTTTTCCAAATCTAATCTCAATGCTGATTCCTTCAGCAAGTCTTGCTTTAAGCGATCGACAATTTTCTCAACCTTAACGACAGTTTGCTTCTCATTTTCGATAGTTTCTTGAGCTTGACATAATTGCAGTTCGTAATTTTTACACATTGAACATTCTTGAATACTGCCATTTTCAGCTTCTGTGCCTTGATCCTTTTGTGCTTCACTTAATAAGCCAACTAATGCTGATTTATGATGTGTTTCACCTCTAATTTGTTCCATTTCATCGTAAGCACTTCTAAGCTTCTCTTTTAATTGAAGGATTTCATCTTCTAATGGAACTACTAAGGAACGCAACGTATCAGCGTCTTCCTGAGCCTAAAAAATATTTTTTTCCTATAAATAATAATTAATTTAAGTATAAAATGTGGGAGTTGCTTTACATATTTCGATGAACTTCCAGTGATTTTACGCGCTGAATCGTCCAAGTTCTCTTGACTGCTATTATTTGTTCCTGTTATCTTCTTTACATTCCTTGCTAACGTCTTTAAACCGAGAATTGCTTCTAAGCTTTTTGACTCCTAGAAAATATTAAACAAACATTGAAAACTTATTGCGAATTACATTCTTGAAGACGCTAAGCTTAGTGACACTATAAAGAACCACTTAAATCCCAAGATTAAAATTAATCCATCTTAAGATCTCATTATTAATATCAATATCCCTTGCTTTTTTAAAAGACACCACCCCAGAGTGATCATACAAGTGCCATGAATCCCAAAAACTGCTTAAAACATAGGAAAGAGTATTACTTGTTGCTGTTGTTCTCTTAATGACGTCACTTCTAATTTAAATCTTTCATTTTCATCCTGAAGTCGTTTGATTTCCTCGTGAGCTAACGTAGACTCATCGCATGTCTCTTGAATGAGCTGATTAAGTGTCTGCACTTCCTGGTCGTGTCTCATTTTTTGATCTTCAAGATCCTTTTCTCTATTATATTCAGCTATGACGAGTTGAGACGATGCCTCTTCAATTTCTCTTTTAAATACAATAAGTTTCTGTTTTAATTGTACACATTCCTTCTCTTTTGATAGATACAGTTCCTTCATTTTTGCTCGTTGCTGGTTGAATTGCTCTTCTTGAGACATCTTGGATGTTTCTGTATGATTATCAGATATAATGTTTTAATCAGGTATTTATAGATGTGTAAAGTATGGAATGCGAGAAAATTGCTTACCTGATGAATCCATGATTTAATTAACTCGTTTTCTGAACTATATTGGGTGTTGGTGAATTATTTTTAAAATTACGATTTAACTTCAATCTCCATTAGTTTATTATAACATTAAATTTTTTAAACAGTTTCAAACTGTACACCTATTATAATAATATATTTAAATAGTCAACAAAAACCTATTAATTAGGGAAAATTTTAAAATTGATTGAAAACATACTTTGAAATTTCAAGGGGAATGTCTATGTGTCAATATTAATCATAAAACCAGTGACAATAACATTACTTTGGAACGTATGCGCACTTTCTTGACTGCTTTATATACATATATTGTCATAATAATGTTTTATCTTTACTGACATTAATTTAATTTTAATAAACAACTGCAACTTTGGATTTGAAAATACAGTGTTACAAAACCATACAAATGTGCAAATTTGTAAGGTTCTATGATAAACATTTGTAGAGTTTTAATCAAATTCAAATTATTTTCACTCGTTATCAGCATTTAGCATGTGATGATTGAGTTTTCACCGTATTTGATGCTATTAATCAACATGAACCCCAAAGTGAGCATTACCATGAATTTTCTTCTACTATCGAGCTAAAAAAATGATAAAAACGTAAACAAAACAATGGACATTTTAGAAACAAGCTGTCGATTTTGCTTAACAGATAGATCGAGAGATGTTAGAATGCTGGAACTAGACGAAAGTATTGAGCAGTTATTCTTTGATCTCACGCAAATCAGAGTAAGGATATCATTGTATCATGTATAGTTGCTCAAAAATGACGATAACTTCCATTTTAGCTAACATACTATTCAAGCCATCCAAACATCCCTCATTCGATATGTGAGACATGCTATAGAGACTTAATGAAATGTTTAGACATAAAGAAGCTTTTTATTGACAATCAGATTGAACTAGATAAGAAAATATTAATTATACTACACAATGTGGATATTAAGCATGAATTAGAAAGTGATATCCATCCATCAAAGACTGAAACAGCAGATCCATACATAGATCATGAGAATTTAAGCAATTTAGAGGCATCTTCACAGACTGTATTGATCTTTGAGCACAATCAAATTGACCTGAAAGAATGTCCTCAATGCTTTGACTTATTTGAACATGCAGAATTTACTAAGCACATCCAGACACATCAGAATCGTCATGCATGCCATTCATGTAGTTATAGCTCTCCAAAATTCGATAGACTACAAAAGCATTGCTTAAAAGTTCACAAAACTGAAGCAACAATTAAGGAAAAATTAATTAAAAATAAAGTGGATGAAAAGCAACAATGTGCAGTTTGTGGAAGTTTTGTAAAGAATCTAATCGAGCATCTAAAATTCACTCATAATCAGGCAAAGAAAAGTTTCTATTGTGATCATTGTAGCTACTCGTGCTACTTTAAAACTAAAATTGAAAGACATTTACAAAAGCACATCCCAAAAGAATTTCGAAACTTAATTAAGTGCCCTGATTGTAGCTTCCTATGTAGTCGAAAGGATGCCTTAAAATCTCATATAATGACAATGCATCAAATTAATAGACAAAAAATCTACGACTGTCAACATTGTAAGAAATCATTCTATAATACATCACAGCTTAATATCCATACAAAGTCAGTCCATCAGAATATCAGGAACCATCTATGTCAACACTGTGGAAAAGCCTTTTTCACCACAAAAGATCTGAAAATTCATTCAGCACGTCATTTTGAGAAGAATGAAAAATGTTCAGAATGTGATGCAATCTTCTTCTGTAGAGTTGATCTTCGAAGGCATGTCAGGCATAAACATATGCCAGCTAGCATAATTTGTCAAATCCAGAACTGTCAATTAAAGTTCCATACAAATTCCCAGCTCAAAACGCACATAAAGACAAGACATGAACACCTTAAACAATATATTTGCAATTTTTGTGGATCTAGTTTTGCTCAGTACAATAACATGAAGAGGCACATTGACTCTGTCCATAAAGCATTGAGGATTCATTGTCCTGTTGATAATTGTACTTACTCAATAACCAGAAAAGACAAATATAAAACTCATTTAATTAAAGCTCATAAGAATATTGACGAGAAAATGAGGGAGATTGTACTCAAGAATGTCAAGTATGAGTGAAAGGCATGACAGGAAATAAAACTGATCAAAATATTCTCAAATTAACTTCCATGCGAAACATTTCATTTGTTTTTTTATGCAGTTTCTGACACACTTCATCTTCTAATATCTTATATACAAAGCTTTCTACTTAGTTCCTTTAATTTTCCCAAAATAAATTACCTAAGGTGTGTCCTGAAATCATTCAACAGCGGTGTGGAAGTTCATTAGCTACGTAAGTCGTGATTTTGTTTTGATTTCATAAAACTGAATAAAAATGGACATATTTACCGAAAAATACTGCCGTTTCTGCTTAAAAGAATCATCCAGACGTGTCAAACTGCTGAAAATTGATAAGGAAATCGAAGAATCATTCTATGAACTGACACAGATTAAGGTAAATTAATTAAATTCAATAATTATGTAAAGTTTTCATGAAAACAATATTTTAGCTTTCAAAACATTCAATATTCATTAATCTGTCGAATTCAATATGCACTGAGTGCTCAAAGGATCTTAATAAATGTATAAATACAAAGAATTTGTTCATAGAAAAACAGACTGAACTTGAGAAAAAAGCTACTGGATTTAATAGCGTTAATATAAAAACTGAAGATATAAATACAGTAAACAACATAAAAATAGAGTATAATTATGAGGATTCAAATGACAATAATGATTTTGATATCTCCGAGCATTTTTCTCAAGCGTACGTGGATTGTGATAGTAATGATATTAAGGAAGATCCAGAAGATCCAGCGGAACCAGCGATATCAAATTTAGAGGAACAAGATGATGACGATGAGCCTAAACCGAAGAAGAAAAAGAAGCGTGAGAGAAAGGAATGCACGCTATGTGGAAGTAAAGTTAAGAATCTTAAAGAACATTTCAAATATACGCACAACCAAGTCAGTAAGAAGTATTTCTGCGATAAGTGTACATTTGGATGCTATTTTAAGCACAAAATTGAGATTCATGTACAACAGCATATTCCAAAACAATACAGAGACCTGATTGAATGTGCTCATTGCGAATTCAAATGCTCCAGAAAAGATACATTAAAGAAGCACTTCTTAAGTTTCCATACAGCATTTTCACGCGAGAAAAATGTCCAATGTACAGAATGTGATAAGGCTTATTATAGTGTCTCGCAATTAAATAATCATGTTCGAAATGTACATCACAATATCCGAAATTATTGCTGTAAACACTGCGAAAAAAGGTTCTTTACAACTAAAGACTTGAATTTACACGTTCCTAGACACTTTGATAAGAAAGAAAAATGCCCACGATGCGATTTAATGTTCTATACAGTCGCTGAAGTTCGTTCTCATATCAAGCGTGTCCATTTACCGCCCACAATATCATGCAGCTATGAAGATTGTGACAGGAAGTTTGCAACAAATGAAATGATGAAGAAACATGTTAAAATTAGACATCAACGATTGAAGGAATTTGTTTGTGTTGAATGTGGTGCTCCATTTGCTCAATATAATACGATGAAGAGACATATGGATACAGTACATAGATCATTAAGAGTACAATGTCCAGTTGATAATTGTGGATTTTCCATGAAGCGAAAAGAAAAGTTTAAATTCCATTTAATTAAATATCACAAGGAACTGGATGAGGAAGCAAGAGACGAAGTAATAAAAAGTTTATCGTACAAAACAGAGGAACAGCAGACGCATGTAACAGAATTTCCATGCACAGAATGTGGAAAAATGTTTACAAAATATCACAATTTAAAAAGGCATGTAGCTAAAGGTCATGTTAAAAAGATATATCCACGTAGATTATTTTACTGTCCATTAGATAATTGTTCATACAAGATTTCTGGAAAGTACAGAGTTAAAATACATTTACAGAGGAAACATCAATGTGATGAAAACACAATAGAATCACTTTTTAAAGACATAAAATTTGACGTCATTGAAGTAAGTTAAGCTGGTTCCTTCTTCTCAGTTTTAATTTTTGGCTCGCGAATTGCTGATGGAATTTTTGTACCAGTATTGTAGATTATGTTCATGGTATGTAATAAACTTGCTATGGCCTCTTTTACGCTGTGGTATGCAATGTTCTTGATGTTTAATTTCTCGATGTTGTTCGTATGATCCTGAAATTTCATTAAGTTTCAGTTTTTAAATAAAGCAGGTCCAGCATTAAGCACTGTTTTAATTAATGAAGTCATTTTCAAAACCGTATAAAAGTTTGTGTTGGTTTTGAAACCATACAACAGCATTGTGTTTAAAAACCATTCAACAGCATTGTGTTTAAAAACCATTCAACAGCTTTTCAACACACATTTCAGAACATTAAAACAGCCAATGTTCTAGAGCATTACAACAGTTACGTTTTTCAAAAATAGAAAACACGTTAGGAACAGATTTGGGCGAATTCCAATATGAAAATTCAGTTAAAAATAACAAAGTCTACCAATTTCATACCTTTGTGAGTTTTCTGAATTCCTCGCTGAGATGAAGGCAATGTGGCATTTGTTGTGGCGATACAAAATCCTCAGCAATTTTTATACAAGAATAAATATTTCGTACCTGAATAAAAACAATTTATTAACAGTATTTACATACATTTCTGGATCATAAGACTCACTTGATGGGGTGTTCCTGCCGGCAGTATTACTGTGTCTCCCAAAAATTGCACAAACGCGTATCCTAAGAAATTACGTTCATAACTTTATGCTTTATCCGTTTTATCTCAAAATTAGTTTAATAATCACCTTTAACGCCATATTCGGAATGTAATCTGTTTCGTAGTTCTCCGTCTATATACCAATTTTGGTCGTGAATGACATCATGATCCTTAGCAATTTTAAATCCTTTTTCAGATGCAATCTTTATAAGAAAATCTCGAATTTTGTCTGCGTCGCAAGCTTCATAAATATGCCAGAGAGCTCCAGGAATCTAAATAATTCCATTTTATTTTGTGATGACTATCAAATAAGTTAAGACTTACCTCTCCATCCTTAGTAACTCGATCAATATTAGCCAAATCACAATCTCCTTCAATAATCGCTCGAAATCCTTGTTCTACATATTCATCAACACTGATATTTTTATCACGAGGAAATCCGATGTAGCACATTACATTACAAGCATCAGAAATGTCCAAATGAAGATTTGTCGTGCCTTCTTTAAGATAATAAGGCGAACCGTATGCAAAATATCCTTTCGGGCCCAAATCGGGATGTAAGAAACATTGTGGGAGGTACTTTACTATGTTTAAATCACCAGTTCGATTTGTGTATGGATTCATTGGCAAATTTTTCATGATATCCTCAAATCTTGATGGCATAATCTTCTTAAAGTCTGTTTCAGGGGGCCAATCTTTAAGCTATAACATAAACATTATGAATTGAGATTAATTAAACATCAAAAATTAAAGGATTTAAAACTGTTAAACTTTTACCGGTTTTTTGATTTTTGAATTTCAACAGTTTTCTGATTTTTGAGTTCAAAATTTGAACATTAAGCATCCAAAAATTTTAATTTATCGGTTTTTGAGGATCAAAATTAAGTGATTCAACCTAGCTCACCTTTAAAAGCATTGGTTTTCCTTCGTTATCCCTCAAACGTTTCTCGACAATTTCAAATCCATCCCAAAAGACGGCAATTTCTTTATTTCTCACCAGATTCCCAGTCATACAATTAATAAAATCAGATTTCTCGTCACCAAACTCATTTGAAAATGATTGAGGTAGCCACAGCTTCTTATCAAGTTTTTCAAGAACATTAGAGATCAAAACTGGCTGACCACGTTGCCACTGTTCAGCAAAAAATTCTTCATTTCTCGGATGCGTTGGATCTAAAAGCCTTAAAAGTTTATTTTCACAAAGCCATTTATGTGGAACGTCCTTATAAAATATATCTGATGTAGATTGGCTCATCACTCTTGAAACACTCAATACAGTTTCACGTCCATTTTTTGCAAAATATCGATCAGGTCGTATATGTCTTGGCTGTTTTGGAGGTCTTTTAATTAGTGGAACTTCATTGAAGATATTTACATCACTATCCTCATACTTAACAGTACCAATGTCGACTTCCATGTGCTTATAAAGATTAATTGGTTCTCGATTTAAAAAAGTTTTAATTAAAGTTCCATCATCATTAATCATGCTGCGTATTATGTTATCTTTCACTCTGTCAATTTCAAGTATTGGTTCCGTTTTAAATTTACATTCATGGATTATTTTATGATAATTGCAAATATCATGCAAAGTTCTTTGTAGTATATCCATACAATCACCAACAATGATTTGTGTAAGGAATAACTCATTATAACTGTGTTCTTCTTTATTTTTGGAACAAACTGTATCAGCAAGATTTGGATTTTCTTCATTAGCACAATCAATACATAAAGTTAGTCCACAACTCGTACAAATTAAATGAAAATTAAATAAAGTCGTATTACACAGATCACACATTTCTAAAACACCATCAATTAATCTCTTCCATATTATTGGCTTCGATTCTGATTTATATTGCTCATAATAGCTTCTTTCTTTTGCCATAATCCTGCATAATTCATCACCAACATGTGCTATGATTAAACGAGCGTTTGCGACTGACAATGACTTGAATTTTAGTTTATCAGGCTGTGGCACCCAAATTGAGCGATCTACTTCCTTTGGATCATCAGTTGGATCAAGAAAACCAACAACAACCAGTTCATCTCCTTCATAACGAAGTTTTCGGAAGTGATAAAATCGACAATCAACTTCTCTTGTCTGACGTCGCTTCCTGTCTGTTTTCTTCAAGCATTCAATGCATTTTGCAAGCTGTGGAGCTATAATATAGCATACGCCTGGCTGACAAAAGCTTCTTCCATCTTTTTTCAGATCTTCAATTTGTTCATTTGTGAGCTTTAAGATGCTGACATTCTGTCTCATTTTTGGAATTCTTTCATGAGCTTGCTGCTCACCGTCAATGGATACTTTTAATTTACGTGCTTGATATGGTCGCGCTGGTTTTGGTCCTGGATTTCCAGGTTTTGATGTTTTTACAGGCTTCACAACCGGAACTGTATTTTTAAATGAACCTTTTGGACGTCCTTTTTTCCTTACAACTTTGGGCTCTTCATCAAAACTTTCGGAAGTACTTTTTTCTGGCTTTATATCTTCTTCTTCATTCTCGTCAATAATGTCATTTTGGTAGGTTGGAAGCATTGCATCGTCTTCACTAAACAGCAATGTTTCAGAATTTTCCGTTTGTACAGCATCAGATCCATCCAGCTCATTTTGATACACTAATTAATATAAAAAATAAATTTGAACAAAATATACATTGAAATTCTAATTTTTCAATTAAAACCTGGATTAATCGGTATTACTGGAGTCGTTGGATTCTCCTGCAGATACATATTTGCGAATGGATCGCAATGATACTCTCCTTCTGTCATATTTCACCTTATTTTCTAATTAATAAATACTTTTTCACGAATGCCGAAATAATATTTTGTTTTTGTCAATATTTTCAGACCCCTTTTCTGTGATGCGCAGTTGTTGCTTCTCTGACTGTCTGTAATGATGAATATGAACAAATTTAATAAAGCGCTTTAGCTACAGTAGCACGTAAAAGTCTCTTACTTGTTATATAGTCTCTGCCTCGAATATCTGAGTAATTCATAAAATATTAATTTTAGCGGGTTATTCAGCATTTTAAAGCAATTTAATTAATTCTGTCTTGTGAATAATACACTAATTAACTTGTAAGCATGTCTCTAGGTGAGTAGAAGATGAATTTTTTTGCAAAAAACGCATTTGTTCTAGTTTTGCCGATTTCTCTTTATGTACCGTTTGTTCTGTTTGATTGATGATACAGATACAGACTTATCGCTTAAGTGCATTTTACAGCAAATATAGTCATATCTTGGTACACAAACATACGTCATCAATTTAACCAGAACAAAGGACTTTTTTTTTGCAAATTCAATTGTTCTCAATTATTTGCTTTGTCATCGCTTTAATTTTGACTTAATTTACTTATTTATAGCACCTTTAACTAAGCAAGGTTTAAAAACTCTTCGTGATGGGTTCTATAAGTGTCCAAAAAATCGTCTAGCTCAAAATGCAGTCACTCAAAAAGATCCACTTGAAATTGCAATGTGTCGACCAAGAATTGAGCAAACAAGTCATGTATTTACTTACAAGGTAGATAATGAGGCCAAGCCAGTATGCGATCAAAAGTCTACTGGAAGATGCTGGAATTTTGCAGCACATAACGTCATGCGATTGCCATTTATGAAGCAGTTCAATTTGGAAGAGTTTGAGTTCTCTCAAGCTTATTTCTTCTATTGGGATAAGATTGAACGATCATATTACTTCCTCAATAATATCGTTGAAACTGCAAAACGAGGAGAAAAAGTCGATGGACGACTTGTTTCTTTCTTGCATGGAGATCCAGTAAGTTTTAATACTTCTTTCATTTTGTATTTTACTGAATTTACTATGTTTAATTTATTTAAGATCGGAGATGGTGGACAGTGGGATATGATTGTCAACATAATCAACAAACATGGCGTTATGCCAAAGAAATGCTTCCCAGAAAGCTTCTCGAGTGAAAATTCAGCTAGAATGAATGCGATTTTAAAGTCAAAATTGAGAGAATTTTCAAAGGTTTTAAGAGACTTGATTACTGCCGGAGCATCAAATGATGTTGTCCAAAAGAAGGTTGATGAACAGATGCTTGATATTTATAATATTGTCGGTATTTGTTTGGGAATTCCATCAGAGACATTCACTTGGGAATATTATGATAAAAATAAGAAATACTTCTCAATTGGACCAGTGACTGCACTCGAATTTTATGAGCAATATGTAAAGCCTTACTTCAATATTGACGATAAAGTATGTTTGGTGACTGATCCACGTCCTTCGAATGAATTTGGTAAAGGATATACCGTTGACTGTTTAGGAAATGTCGTTGGTGGACGAACTGTATTTTACAATAATCAACCTGTCGATGTCCTTATTGATCTGATTACTAAGAGCTTGAAGGATAATGAAGCTGTTTGGTTTGGTTGTGATGTTGGTGCTCGATTTGCAAGATTTCAAGGTGGTATCGAAGATCTGGAAATTCATGATTATAAAGTGCTGTTCAATACGGAAGTTCAATTGGGTCTGAATAAGGTGAGCAAACGACAACCATTTTTTTAATTTTGAGATTTCAGCCTTATTTTTTCATGCAATAGGCTGAAAGGCTCATATATGGAGATTCTTTAATGACGCATGCAATGGTTTTCACGGGATATGGAACTGATAAGGAGGATAAACCGACTAAATTCCGAGTTGAAAATAGTTGGGGTGAAAGTCGTGGAGGTGACAAAGGATACTTGATCATGACTGTCGACTGGTTCAGAGAATATGGCTACGAAATTGTCGTTGACAAGAAGTATGTATCTGAGGAAATCATGAAAGTCTTTGAAACTAAGCCGATCGTTTTGAATGCTTGGGATCCAATGGGAAGCTTAGCCAGATGTTAAATGGAATCTCTTAAAGATGAATATCATGCCATACTATTACTTATTACCAGAAAACATCACCTAAAAGAGATGCATTAACCAACTTATGGTATTATAATTTTCCCAATAAAAAGATTTTTTATTATTTACAAATAAATTAAATTTTATCACATCTCTTTTTCTTATTCCTATTTTGTCTGTGAATTTTGTAAGTATACTGTAATTTAGACCAGATTCCAAGACACATCTTTCTCAGTCGATTATCTTCAGTTTCTAATGCATTTTGATATTGCTGTTTAATGATGAATTGAGCAAACTTGAACTTGTTTTGTTGAACTAAAGAAATACTTAGGAACAGTTTACAGCGTGACAGCAGATTTGGATCTCCTAGACGATAAGCTAGTTTCATTTGATGAAATGATATTTTGCCTGCTATTTCCGCTCTGTCCTCAAAATAGTCTCCCAAGGCTGAAAATGCACCACCTGTGAGGATTGGAATTGATAAAACAGTTTGTATGTGATTCAGAGCAAAATAAATTCAGCATAATTAATTTGAATGGATCTTACCTAGTGTTGAAAGCCATCCCATCATGTACTCAACTTCCAGCTGTTCCCATACTAGTTGTCTTACTATTTCACCCCTAAAACAAGACAAATTTAATTAATATTACTTCTTTTCTGGATCTTTTAACCAATTACCATATTCTGTCAATATATTCAATTTTATTTGGCATTAATTGTATGATAAATTGACTACTTGAGCTCTTTATATTCCTTGCAACACAGGAATGATAATTAGGACAGCACTGAATCTCATTGAGAAACAAATACAGTGCATAAGAGTTTAATTTAAATACTCTTGCATTTTTGTACAATTGTTTTTCACTTTTGTGGCCTATTAAATAACTGTCGCTTGAATCCTTGCCTAGTAGAAAACACTGATATAGTTGCAGCTCACGGCTCAATATGTAAAACTTTATTCTCATTGTTAAAAGTCTATTAATTTATTTAAATTTGTTTTTATAAAAATTGACAATTCAAAATGTTTACATTCGTGCTTTAAATGTGTGTGTAAGTTCAAAAATAACGGTAAGTTTTTGAATTTTGATCAAGAAATTTGAATTTACAAAAATAACGGAAAATGTTTCAAAATATTTTTTAACCTCACACGTGGTGACATTTTTTAACGGTTTCTTGTCGATTCTTATCTCAAAATTACTCTGTCCGTATCATTAAGTACTTGAGATAGTTGAGACTTCTTATCAAATGAGATTACAAAAGAGGATCAACAATAGATCCATAGATAAAAGAAAAGATACAGAGAATAGGATTTAAATCACATTGAAATGCAGAATGCTTCTCTCTGGGCACGTACATAAACGTATTCAATGTGATACTCTCGCGATCGTGTTTTTACTCAATAACATTATATAGTAGAAAAAATAATTCTCATTGTGTTTTGTAACGCCGTCGAGTAAAGATGTGTTTTGCTTAAAAAATAAAATAAATAAAACTTTAGCGATATTCGAATAGAAGTAATCGGTTAGATCCCATACGAGAAAATTTATTAAAAAAATAAAGATTTATGTTAACACGAGAATAATTCGCATAATATTTGGACATTTATATCCAATTTTATGAGTATTAATGTAATAAATTAAGGACTTAAAATCGTGAATTGAGTGAAATTATAGTGTAAAAAATATATTTCTTATTATCCAGTACGATTTATTGAGTTAAAGAGAAAAAAAAAACATCAAATTCTTCACAGAAACAAGTTCAATGTGTGTTAAAAAAGAAATAAGAAATCTCTCGAGTTTGTGTGTAATTTCAGGTTTCTTTTCTGAGCACATATACAAATCAACAGCATGAGAGTTATGTGATTTTTCTTTATCTCCACGGAATATATACATGCTTGTGAAAAAAAAAGTTATTTTTCCTTGCCTTCGCATAAGCTTGCATGTAACGAGCAAATAATTTAAGTCGAAAAAATATGCCTATTATGACCCCATAGATAACAGCATAACAGATAGATAAAGTAACTTGGTAAATAAAGAGCGTAAAGAGTGTAAATAGCGCATTATTTACACAATTACATCAGATACATATCTCTTATAAAGAGAACAGCTAGCAGAGCTCAAAACAATTAAAGCGAGTATTATTGAATCGTCAAACACACGACGACAACTAAGGCAGCAGCAAAAAGTTAATTAATATTTGTTGCCGTCTTTCACTTCCAACAATAACAAATATGTGCAAAAATAAAAGAGTTTAATTAAACTTAACATCCAGGCAAAGAATCTTACGAACGTGTCGAGTGGAATTTAATTTTTTTTTTGTCGTATTTACTTTTAAAAAGAGACACAATTTGCGAGACCACGAAAAAGTTGTAAGTGATCATAAGAAGTCATAAAAAGAGGTGTAATATAACAACAAAGGAAGAAATCATTTTGAATGAGAGAAAAAAAAAATAAAATAAGATCCAGTAAGAAGAAGAGACGATGATGATGAAGAAAGAAAAGAATTACACATAAAAAAATTATCAAAGTCCATTTGCTGGTATTGTGAAACTTCATAGAGAGTAAAAACAAATGAAACGTAACGAAAAAAATTACTTTCTTATGAACTTAATTGTTAAATTGGATTTCAATTAGTTTTTTTTTTGAATCTTCCATTAATGACCCTTTTTTCAATTGCACTTACTCTCGAATTTAATTTTTTTTTGTGAATGATGAGGAAAAAGACGACTAAATTGTATTGAACTCAAGTTATTAATTTGTGCTTGTGTGTCTGTGTGAGAGAAAAAAAAACTCTAAAAAAAGGAACAATAATTTAATTAATAACAATAAATCAGCGAGATATTGATTAAATAACAATGTTGAGCAATAATCGTTGCATTGCTGAATGCCGCAAATTTTCACCCAACATATTCAACAAGAATAAGTGTACGGGTTGTTTTGGCAAACGAGAGGAACATAATGCTGCTGCACTTGATCATAATCGGGTAAGTAGAACTCCATACAGAACTGATAATAAATCAAAACATTTTTTCTCAATTTCTTTTATTTCGTATAAAAATATCTTTATAAAATCTTGGGCAACAACATAGCTTCTCAATTTTTTATAATTTTTTTTTGGAGAAAAGAAGTTCTCACAAAAGAAAAATTAACGAAATTTTTTGAGAATCATAACTTTATTCGCGTTTCAGTTTGACTCGATGATTTATGATTGAAATTCGTTTGTGTTCTAATTACTTCTGACAAGTTTTGTTGTATGAACATGAATTTATAGTCCCCATAAATATCATAATCTAATTAAAATTCATGGAATTCTTTTTCGGGGATATTTATGAGCATCATTGACATGAGATTAGAATTTTTACAAAAAGGAATTATCAACTTTAAAGTTTGATTTTGAATTTTAAATTATAGAAATTAAATTAATGTTTTCTTTGATGCCAATTCGTTTCGATTCATTAATGTAACTACTGAGTAGATATGCTAAGACTATAGATCGTTATTTGGCAGAAGATTGCTTTAAAATTTGTATAAAAATAAACTGAAAACCTTTTTTTTTACAATTTCGAAACCTTTCCTGAACATAATCTTGATAATAATAACCTTAACTTCATTTAAAAACAAAAGAATTTTGAAAATCTTAAATTTCAATTTAAAATCATTCTTCAACTTAATGAATCAACTCGCGAATGATAAAAATGCACTTAGCTAATCCAACTTTATTCACAATTTCCAACTTGAATTTTGTTAAAGATTCCAATACAAAATTTATGAGCGCTAACATATTAAGCTAGTGTTTGAATCGTGAATGTATTGGAATTTTATTATATTATTGCTTCTTTCTTATAAGACATAAGACATACTACAGCAGCAGCAGCAATGCGAGAGAGAGAAAAATATCAATTCTGTATTTGTAAGCATGAAAGAAAAATAACAACATTGAAGAAACACAAAAAAAAAAACTTTTAGGCCAAATATTTCCTCGCTATGGGAGAGAATTTTAAGTGCTATTTTAGTCTGTAGGTGACGGGCACTTGTCATAGCTTTTTATGAATAAATTTATTCATTAGCGAATGAATTAAAAATAATTAAGTTTAAAACAATTGTGAAAAGTCTTCCATTTAAACGTGGGAGTTTTCTAATTGTGAGGAGCTGCCATTTAATAATGAATAATTTTTCAGCTGTATAGTTTGTAGAAAGCTCAGCATGTGACACATTTAGCGATTTTTTTTTTAATCAACACAAAAGGATTTATTTTTGTGTGTCTCTCTATCGATTCTTTTTCGGGTGATAATTGACTATAAATTCCTTTTGTTTCCCACAGTCATCATTTCACCATTTCCATTCGGTCTAATATAATATATTATATTTTAATTTCATATAAAAATGCGAAATTCAAAATTATATGAAAGTAAAATGAGAGAAAAAAGATTTAAGCCCACATTATATTATAAAAAACCTATTCAAAAATTTAAGAAATACAATTTTTACCCAAAAATAACTTTATTTATAAATTATATGCAATAAATTTTCACTTTCTTGAGAAGAGATTTTTTTCAAGGGTCAGACACTCCAACAGAATTGTAAGGATTGTACAATCCTTACAATCCTTCCATATGAATTGTGAGGATTGTACAATCCTTACAATCCCTACAATCCTTTTCATATAAGGATTGTAAGGATTGTACAATTCCTACAATCTTTCTATATGAGGATTGTAAGGATTGTACAATCCTTACTAAACAAAAAATAATGTCCATTTGTTTTTAAAAAATAAGATAAAATACAAAAAATGAAGAAAGTCAGAAATTTCTTTGAAAACAATTAAATTTAAAATGCAATATTTTACCGTGAATCAATTCGAATGATTTTTTATACATTTCAACTCATTAAAAAGTTGTAAAAAGTATAATTTTTACACCGGTGAACAGGGTGAGTGATTTAAATCAAAAATCAAATTCAAAATCTTTTTGCAATGATTTTAAAAACGGATTTTGATTTAAATCATTTTTTCAAAGGGATTTTATTGGGATTTAAAAATCCCCCCATATAAAATTTTTGTATTCAATTTCTCAAATTATTTTTCAAATCAACAGTTTTCAGTTGCAGTTCCTAAAGTAAGAATGCAGTTGATCATTTTTTGGGCAGAATCTTGCAACTGGATCTTTTAAATCCAAGCAGTTCTTAAAGAAAGGTTACAGCAACCAATGGTTCCCGAACATACAATGAGCATGCTCAGAGCACATTATTTGTGAGCCTATTAGCCTTTGTGAGAATGTGCTCATTTTCATACATTTCAGTGATGCGCTTACGGTACCTTCTTGAGCATGCTCAGTGAGCACATTCCTATGTGACATGTATTAAGCTCATTGAGTAAACTCATGAGCATACTCAAATGAGAAGGCAACATGTCACATGCAACATTTTTCTCATGTAACATTTTTATTGAATATACTCATGAACATTCTCAAAAAGTACATACTTATAAATATTCTCAAAGAGTACATACTCATAAACGTACTCAAAGAATATATACTTAGTGAGTATATTTATGAGTATATGCTCATCTGAGCACACTCATGAGTTCACTCAAGTGAAGTTGCAAAATTCAAAAAATTAATTAAGCTAAATTTGAGTATTATAGGTTAGCTGAAATTAAGTACTGTTTCGTTTATTTCTGTGAATAATTTTGAAGGAGTTAGAAATTATTATTAATATTTTATCTGAAATACTAAGAATGAAACATATAAATCTGGTCACCCATCCTTGTTGAAATATCTTCTGCGTTGCTTAACTTCTGTCATCTCACACTTTTCCTTGGAGCTATTGTCTGTAAATATATAATAATTTATATATGGCATAACACATAGTTAAATTATTATATTTTTACAGGCGAACTAAGTTCTTTGAAGTTTGGATCTTATTGAGCACCAATTTTAAAAAATCATTATTTTAACGTTTTCGATTTTGCTGACATTTTTAAAAAACGTCAGCTTCCTTAAAAATCATTATTTTAACGTTTTCGATTTTGCTGACATTTTTAAAAAACGTCAGCTTCCTTAAAAATCATTATTTTAACGTTTTCGATTTTGCTGACATTTTTAAAAAACGTCAGCTTCCTTAAAAAATCATTATTTTAACGTTTTCGATTTAGCTGACATTTTTTCAAAAAAGGTACACAATTTGCTCTTGAATAAACTCAGTAAGTGCACTCATATGAGAATATAAAAAAAATTGTGTGACACAGAAGTGAGTTTGCTCATTAAATGCTCATGAGTACATTCAGTAAGTGCACTCATATGAGAATATAAAAAAAATTGTGTGACACAGAAGTGAGTTTGCTCATTAAATGCTCATGAGTACATTCAGTAAGTGCACTCATATGAGAATATAAAAAAAATTGTGTGACACAGAAGTGAGTTTGCTCATTATAAGCTCATGAGTACATTCAGTAAGTGCACTCATATGAGAATATAAAAAAAATTGTGTGACACAGAAGTGAGTTTGCTCATTATATGCTCATGAGTACATTCAGTAAGTGCACTCATATGAGAATATAAAAAAATTATGTCACAGAAGTGAGTTTGCTCATTAAATGCTCATGAGTACATTCAGTAAGTGCACTCATATGAGAATATAAAAAAAATTGTGTGACACAGAAGTGAGTTTGCTCATTATAAGCTCATGAGTACATTCAGTAAGTGCACTCATATGAGAATATAAAAAAAATTGTGTGACACAGAAGTGAGTTTGCTCATTATAAGCTCATGAGTACAATCAGTAAGTGCACTCATATGAGAATATAAAAAAATTATGTCACACAGAAGTGAGTATGTTCTTAATATTCTCATGAGTATATTCAGTAAGTGAACTCATATGAGTGAATTCACATGAGTATGTTCTTAATATTCTCAAGAATATACTTATTGAATGCACTCACGTGAGCTTATAAAGTTTTTGTAAAAAAATAAAGTGAGTACATTCGTAATGAACTCCTGAGCATGCTCAGTTGAATGAGCTTGCATGAGTATAATTTTTGAGTAGACTCACTTATATGCTCACTTTTCTGAGCATGCTCTTTGTATGTTCGGGGTTCCATGCTGTTTGACTGAAACGAAATTCAATTCGTGATTTTTTATCTTCTGTGCCCTGATGTACGAAAGGAACCGGCCATTTCCGCAAAAAAATTTTGATTTCAAGAGGTGAGTCCTTGATGAAAAAGCAACAAAAAAAATTTTTGTGGATGTAAAGGAACTAGGCAGTTTAAGTGCCTATTCTTGCTTATGACTCATTAAACTAATGTGGTGTAATAAAATATATTTAAGTTTTTTAAAGAATTTGAAGCAGGTAAATCCTGATATGAAGTAAGATCCAGGCATGCTTGATGAAGTCTAGTTGTTTATATGCAAGCAGCAAGGCACAGAAGATTAAAAATCACAAATTGGATTTCGTTTAAGTCAAACAGCATGGAACCATTGCTGTAACCATTAATTAAGAAATATTTGGATCTAAAAGATCCAGTTGCAAGATTCAGGCCAAAAAAGGATCAACTGCATTCTTACTTATTAGGAACTGCAACTGAAAACTGTTGATTTGAAAAATAATTTGAGAAATTGAAAACAAAAATCTTACATGGAGGGATTTTAAAATCCCAATAAAATCTTACATGCAAGAGATTTAAATCAAAATCCAAAAAACAATTCCTTTGAAAAAATGATTAAAATCAAAATCCTTTTTTTAAAATCATTGCAAAAAGATTTTGAATTTGATTTTTGATTTAAACCACCCTGGTTTAAGCGTGACCATCTGCGTAGTTTTACAACGGACAGAATTGATATATCAAGTTTATTTCGTTCTTTAAATTCAAACAAATAAATTTTTAATATTAAATTAATATTTCTTCTCTAATAACCAATGAAAAACATTTTTAAATGTTCCATACATTTATTTCATCCTTACAATCTTTATATGGAAAGGATTGTAAGAA